AAAACTTGGAGCGGCTTGATGATTCTAATGACTAAAGCACCAGTGTTGTTCTTTGTTTCTACTTGTACATCAAATAGCAGCATATATTGAATCTCTGTATTAAAAGAGCTTCAGCAAACAGATTCAGTATCTTGAAGGTAACTGTAACAAGACAGGATGAGTTGAGTATCAAGGAGACTCTGAAGTTGCCATCAAAAATTACACATACTCTGTGTGTTTGGTTTGACAGTGTTGACTACTTTTATTTAAGGAAGTAGCTTTATGCGATTACCCAAGCATAATTTGATTTGTATAGTAAATAGAAGAAGGAAAGGGAAACTACCTGGAAAAATGCACTTTCTTAAAAATCATTCTATTTAGGAGTAATAGAAGAATCTGAAATAAGTGCTTCTAATTATCAGAGTCTACAATGCCTGCCAATCTTATTTGTTTTATGAGCCAGATAATAACAATAGACAGCATGTAAATCACATCAAAAATTGTGTACAGTCCTTACAGAAAGAAAAGAACACTAGAAATCCTGTTTCCAGCCTTTAGTTAGCCTGATCCTTTGATCTGGGAAAGCTCTAAGTCTAAACACCAAAACATCTAGGGTATTTTGTTTGGGAGGGGTGTTGTGGTATGGTTGTTACAATTTTCTTGGGATTACTGTTGTCTCTTTGGGTTTCCTGCCTTCTACTGATGAACTAGTTGCAAAATAATTAGTAACACCATGAATAAAATGATTGTGTTCTCAGAGAGCTTCTGTAATTTGGTCCCCAACTGGGCCTGGCTTTTGCTCACGGGATGGAATTGTTACATGTTTCTTCAACTCCCTTCTTCTTAATAATCATTTCAAACAACTAAGCTGAGTACGCTAACTTTTTATTTACTAATATTTCTAGGTTAGCTACAGTTTAAATTTTTGTCTTACAACCCAAGAGACTTTCATGTTAAGGATAGACAGCGAGGTACATTTACTACAGATTTAAACACACACCACCATCCTTTTTGGAAACCAAGAGCAAAACACATAAACACATTGACATATAAAGGTGTATGTGTACACATGTAAATATGAATATTACCATATAATTAGTAATTTTAATTATTTTAACATTATCCCAGGTCCCCTACTGTTTGCTTACTATGTTTGTATGCTTTATATTACAGAATCCTTGTAGAAACAGTTGGCTCTGGGTTAGATGCTCATTAGAGGGAGGAAATGAAGTAATAGAGGTTTTAGGCACATGTTATTAAGTGGAAGCTGCATCGAAGTCTGGTGTTTTATCCCACTTATTGTTTAGCAATGTGGCCCCAACACATCTGCTCCTTCCAGTCTCATAACATAATATGAAAACTGCTGCTACTTCTCTCTTATCATTCTTCCCAGAATCCTCCTTGTCTCCTAGTCCCGCCTACCTTGCTTCCCTACTGGCCAACAGTGTTTTGTTCATCAACCAATAAGAGAAATGCATGTACAGAAGACTTCCCCCATCAGAAAACTTGCCCATGGGTCAAGAAATAAAATATTTAGAAAGACAATAAGTCACTAAACCTTTACTGATTTCTGTCGTAGAAAAAAAATGACACAGTTCAGGGGGACTAAAATGGCACAAATGGTGGATTTGGAATTGTGCAGTGTAAAACGTTTGTCACTGCGCTTCTGTGGCTTAGGAGTCATTATGATCAATGCGAAGTTATCTTTCCTAAGAACGCAAGCCAAGAATATAAAGAATAGTGTGTGTAAGGCAATAACACTGGACAAAAGACCGAGCAAGCAGACATTGCAACCATAGATGGCAGAAGAACTACTTAAGCCCACACTCTAACGAGGTGTTAGGGCAGGGCCCTGGGCTGCTAGGAAACCACATCATTCTTGCATTAAGAATGGGAAAGCCAATGAGCCAAGCAGACCCATAGGCTGATGACAAATGCCAGAGTCTGCAAACAGCACTTGTGTGTTGATATGTGTGCTTTGTAAGAATGTCTCCTCTCACAGATATGTGTGTGTGTGTGTCTGAATGTGTGTGTATGAGAGACAGAGAATTTGTATCACATTATATCACATGCTGACTAACAATTCTTACAACAATTTGACCACTCAGTGATAAGAATTGCCATAACTAACATGTCATTTAAATGTTAGGTATTTTTTTCTAACTTGCATATTTTTAAATTAAAGAGCAATCTCTAAAAATTCTGCCGAAGCGTATCTGTGAAGTGTAACCATGACACTGTCCAGAAATAATGCTGACACTGTTCCCATGGAGTTCAGTTCCCCGCCTTCTCCCGGGTCTGCAGAACCATCAGGCCTGTCTCCTCTAAATCTATTTCTGGGCTGTTTCACTGTCTATACTCATGTAGACTCTGAGCAGTGTCAGCCCTGGAATCTTTGATGCATTGACAAGATCAATGTCCCTACCAATCTTGACTGTCATCTTTAGGTATCTGAAGTTGGAGAATAGAGGTTGGCCCTGAAATTTTTTTTCAAATAAGAGAATACTAAGAAAACTTTTGCAGCTCTTCATGGCCACTTATTTGGATAGTCTAGCACATGGGCAGAAAGATGGCTGCTACTTCAAGGCCATCCTGGGTTATATAGATTTCTGGACAAGATTTTTAAAACAGAAGATTTTTGCTTATAAATTTGCTGTGCTTCCATTATGCTGTTGAAATAGGAGCCTAACATAAGCTTAAACCTGGGGGAACTTAGGTAAGAACTGGACAAACATTAGCATTAAGGACCAGAGCCCAAGGCTCTGCATAGGTCTTTCCAGGATTCTGCAGTCTTGACTGGCAATGCAAAGTTCTTCCTGTTGAATCAGAGGCCCATTCAAGTCTACACTGAAATAGATGTCACTCCATGTTCTAGTAAGGTCAAAGCCAGCACTAGTAAAGGTCAAGTCAGCTCTTTATCTTACTTATTTCTTGTTGATGTAACAGTATATCTGATGTTAAGTACTTCATAAGAGAATTGTTTCCCATAGCTCTGGAGGCTGGGAAATCCATCATAAAGGAGCAGGCATTCTATGACTAGTGAGGGTCCTCTACCTAGACCAAAAAGGCAAAAGGGGACAGCCACAGAATAAGCCTCTTCTGTAAGGGCTATTGTCTCACTCACATCGAAGGAACCTCAGACACAGTCGTATCCTAAAGGCTCCACCTCAAACATTGCATTGGAGATGAATACACTCAGACCACAGGAGTTTGCCAGTGGGACTGATTTCTAGACCCATTTTGGTTTTCTTTCTGGAAATAAAACTGAAAAGGTCACTCCGTCTTCTGAATATTTTAAGAATAAGCAGTTTTTCACATTTTGCAGACTGAGCCAGATGGATGATTTGGAATAGGGAGTCTCCATATTTAGATGGGCCAAGCTGGTAGTGAAAGAAGCCCAAAAAATAAGTTATTTTTAGTTCTTGGAATTCTAGACTAGATCTGTGAGGAATTCTTGGAACAAATGTGTTATTAATATATATGTATAATATGCATATATTATATACAATATAACACACACACAGACACACACACACACATATATACACACTGAAAGTTGCTCTAAAGCCAAAGTTGAAGGGTAGGAGGAACCACAGAGAGTAAATAATAGGCAATGAGAGAGGGTGTTAGGGAAGAGTGTATGAGGGTTATGCAAAGCACACTAGCTATAGTTAGTGCCTCTCTACTGTAATCGCCACCCTCGCCCTGCCCACTCCAACACCTGTGCTATGACACATCCAAGTCAGAACTGTTTCACCCTGGATTCCACAACGTTGAAAGGGAAGCTGAAAGAGAGAAGGAAAACTGCAATGGGAATTTGATGGGCCTTGTCCTTGTAGACTCTTACATTATGTGTGATTATGTCCATAGCCACACACATTTTAATGCCCGATGCACTGTTAAGCAGAGAAGTACAGATTAAATTATGTGAACAATGAGAGCAAAGACAGTACCGGAGGAAACAATCTCTGTGGGGCAATAATTAAAGAGCCCCACCCTTTTCCCTTTTCTTTGCTTTAAAGTAGAGGGAACCCCCACCACATCATAGCAGTTCGATGAAATCTTCTGTGTTTGCTACACCCTCTGCCTATTCTCTCCCACCTGGAATGTAAGTGATTTGTAGCCTTGATGTCCACCCATCCACTGTGTGCCTATGAGTAAGTGGGGAAATACATGATTTCCAGTGCCTGTAGGCCATCTCAGGTTAAAGGATAAAATATAGGAAGACTGACCCAATAAACACAAAAAAGAAATGATACATTCTCATTCTGTATTAGAGTCTATGTGTCTATGTTTACAACAATGAACATTTTTAATCCTTAAGAACTGAGGACACAGAGGGATAAAGGCAATTTCCAGTTATAGCTATCTAGTCATATATAGCCCAGCACAGGAATCAATGATCTTAATGTGATTCAGTCTGAAAAACCACACTGAATAGCTAAAAGGGCTTGCTCACTTTAACCACTCTGTGTCTAAAATGCTGAATCATGCCACAGTGTCTAGATCTGTATTACAGAAAATAATCAATATTAACGAGATCAGATCTTCCATTGGAACTATTTTAAATGCCCTTCAAGATTACTTCTCAGAAATTTCCCTCTCTGTGATTCAGCATGGCTTAACATGTTGATATGCTAATTTTACAGGAAAAACATCAGAAGGAAAAGCACCCCTGCTTGGTTCAGAGATTACAAACTATGACTTCAGTGAACGAAAACTTTAAATGATGCCCTTGTAGTGCAGCATAACCTACAATAAAGCTAAAGCCCCAGATATGCCCAAGGTCACGTTTCTACCTTCCTCCTTTCTCCTAGTATTAGAAAATCAGATGCCAGCTATCCAGGTGCCTGTTGACGAGAGTGAGCAGGTTAATGCTTCCTAAATGACTATACATTGTCTGATGCCGTCTGTTTTTAACAAAAGATGACCGTATTTTACTTTTCCAACTGCATTTCGAACTGTGTACACTTTCCACCTTGAAAGAAAAGCCTAATGGTTCCTCTTAACTTGAATTTCAGAACACAATAGATGTGGCTCTTCAAACGTGGTCTCCTGTGCCAGGTGCCTCCAGCTGGGTCCAGAATGCGGATGGTGTGTTCAAGAGGTGTGCCTCTTTCGTTGTTGTTTTTGCTTGATGTTGTTGCTGCTGCCTTTGAGTTTTTCTCATCCTTAACTTTCTCTCTAGCCTGACTTCATTCTCCCAATATTTTACACTTTAAAGATGCATCAGAAACAAGAAAGATAATCCTGAGCCATCAGGAAATTTTTATTTCGCTTTCTGTGGAAAAGCATCTTGTCTGGTTGAATATACAATCAAGTGTAACATTTTTATTAGAAAAAATGTGGTAATTTTGACATTAAGTGCAAACCATTTTATGTTTTCCATCTGTTCTGTGGAAAAAGTTGGCAAATATATATATAATAAATTTTAATAGTTAAGTAGACTTTGATATAAGATTCTTGCTGTAACTTGCAGCACAAAGTTATATCCCCAAGTCTGATTACTTTCTTAATACTTGCTTATCAAAGAAAAGCAAAAAGATTCATTGGTCCATTTTACTTGTTTTTATATGAAATACTAATTGTTCAGTGATTCCTTAACATTGTATAGCAACTTTTGCTTTATTATGGAAAATGTAATGCCTTGATTACTGTTACTGAAGTACTATGTATATTTAAATCCTCTACAGTGGAGAATAATTCAATGTTATTGTTAAAAGTTAATGTTTTTCATTCTGTGTGGAGAAACAAATTCCAACAAAATTCTTAGTAAAAAATTATAATGACTTCTTTTGTGCTGCTCTAAAGTTGTTTTATGAGGTTTTTAAAAATCAGTACTTTTAAATCAGAGGTACCTACACATAATTTTTTTTCCTAAGGTGCCATCTGCTAAAATGGAATCTTTTTGCAAAAGTGCCTGGGTAGCTTTTTAGTTACTTATGCAACTCCTGGGAATTGCAACTAACAGGCTTTCGGACTTCTGTCTGGCATGGACATGAATCTCTAGTTTTACTTCCTCTAATTTAGCTCAACAACTAAAAACTCCCATCACACTGTCAGCTTCTCTTCTTACTCCCCCTCTTCATGCATGAAGCAGGAAAACAAAGACAGTTGGGAAGGAGCAGGGAGGATGAGCACCACGCTCTTCTATGAACCAATCAGGGTTAAAGCACAGACAGGTTTCAGATGCAGGAGCCTTATCTGAAAGTCACATCCTCTGCTGACAGCCTCATCTTCTGTGTGCTTTGGGTTAACATCACGGGGTAAAAAATCAGATGTCATTAATTAACAAGGAAGTACTTTGTCACAAACCATCAAGTCAGACAATGTCACAAAAAGGAAGATTCCAGAGTTTCTTAGTTCAAGTTCTGTCGTCTAAAGACCAAACAAAATTCTTGCCATTCTCTTAACAACCATTTTTCTCACTCATCTCTACAGTCTTGAACATGGAGTTGATTTGTAGGGTTCTCTGTCAGGGATGTTTTGTGGCCTGGTTTTCCTGACCCAAAGCCAGTGATCCACTCATCACTAGAGAAGATCCTTAGAGCCCTGCTCTTTGTGCCAAGGCAACTTCAGCTGCTGAGTGCTCCAGTCAGAGATGTTGTGGGGAGCTTTCTGAAATATGCTTCAAAGCCTACTTGTCAGCCAAGTGTGAGATCAGGTCTCGGAGAGACCACTCCTCCTCACACCTGTGACTGGCACAAAAGGAGAGAAAAAATGGCAACTCTGAAAATACCCGTCTGTCTGGCCACAGAAGCAGGGACTTGGGGGTGTGCCAAGGGATGGGAATTCAGAAGGAAGAAAGCCAATGCAGGGGAGGTGCTGAAGGGACAGAGGAAACCTGTGTTGACTATTGCACTTGCAAACAGAGATGGACCTTGAGGAAAATACTTAAAATTTGCAAGGTTATTCTTGTCTACATGCCACTGTGTAAGGTAGTATACACAGTTTAGGAAGATGAGACTCTGAAGAGACACCAAGGTAAATTTAAATCCTAGCTCCACCTGTTTCTAACTATAAACTATATAACCTATGTAAATTATGCAAACTATGTTGCTTCATCCCTTTAAATCACTTTCCCTATCTCTAAAATGAAAATACTGATTGTATCTACCACATACTTTAATATATAATGAAGTAACATATAGCATAGGACATTGAGATACAGGAGTTGTGTCTATAGATACTTCACTTACGTTTTAGGAGCTGGGGAGATGGCTCAAAGAAGGAAGTGCTTGCTGTACAAGCACAAGGACCTCAGTGAGGATTCCCATTACCCACATCAAAGCCAGATGTAGTACAACACATATGTAACCCCAATACTGGGAGATAAAGACAGACATATCCCTAGGGCTTGCTGGCAAGACAGTCTAGTATAATGGCAATCATCAGATTCAGTAAAAGACCATATCTCAAAAACTAAGGTGCAGATGTAATGGAAAAAGGCACCTAAACATCAACTTTTGGTCTCCACAAGTACTTGTATGAGCAAGCACATTTGCATGCACAGGCATACACCACACACACACACACACACACACACACACACGCACACATGCACACACATACACACAATAATAGTAATAAAATAAAGTAAAAAATAACACAGTCTCTGAGTGTGCAACCTTTGCCAGTTGTTCGTTCATAATACTAAGAGAAGGAATCATGCAATCCCTGTAGGCTGGGCTGATATCATCAAGAGGTGAGATCACCCATCACATAGACACAGATACAGGTGGTGACCCTGGTTTCTCAACCAGAAAAGAGGGAGGACAAGAGAAGAGTGAGGGAAGTTTTTCCTGATCATGATGATAACAACAAAACTGGCTTATATAATTTTCAAAGCTGTTCAAAATACCACCCCCCTCCAAGACGCAGGGAACACATCAGAAGGGGTGGTGGAAAAGATGTAAGAGCTGGAAGGTGAGGCTGAGATATGCTAGCTACTAGGAAGCATGAAGTCTTGGACTTAGAGCAGATGTGGCTGCCTGCACTGGACCTGCACAACACTTGTCTTGTCAACAATTGGTTATGGATGGGACAGAGGTTCAAAGAGCCCTTCCCTCCCTATGAAAATATTAGCAACTGAAAGATACTGAGAGAGGTGTAGTCGTTGTCTTTAGTTGTAAACTGAATGGTGAGCCCACCAGGCTTTAGTAGATAATTCCAAATCTATGAACACAAAGACAGCCCTGGGTAAACAAACTCCCCTACCATCTCTCCATCCCACCTCCCATCCACTCCTCAGAGAGGGTGAGGCCTCCTATGGGGAATCATCAAAGTCTGTCACATCACTTGGGGCAAGCCGCAGGCCCTCCCTCCTCCATGGACCTAGGCTAGATCACCTGCTTGTATTCTAAAATGGCATTTTAATCTGTCATCCCATTATCTGTTTTCCCTCAGTAAAACTATTAGAAAAACATTTGAGATAGAAAGGACTTTATTAGTATCACCAGTTAACACTCATGTTTCTAGTTAACATTGTTAAGAGCCACATTGTTTTGAGCAACTCTTTCATCACAGTGTCATGGTGTGGGCCTGACTTGAAACCACAATTTCAAGAAAGGATGTGAAGAGTGTTTGCTGTTCAAAGGGAGATGATAAGACTCTTCCATTTCTAAGCAGAATGCTGGTTTTGGAGGCCAAAAGACTCAGACATTAGTAAGACAAAAACACATTTTGTTTTTATACCCAGAGTATTACGCTAATGCATAGAAGAGGCAACTGGTGAAAGCCCTTGACTTCAGCCTGGGCCTCTCATTCTCAACTGATCTTAGCTACAGAAATGTGGAGTCTGGTTTCCCCAGTATTTTTCTTTAAGAAAAACTAAAACATAAGGGTTAGAAGAAATTAAAATGACAAAATCTGCCAAGAAATAAAAAGGGTGTGGTTTCAAATTGCTTTTCTTTCAAATGGAAAGTAAGCCACAATGGGCAAGAACCTTTTCTTTCCTTTTCAAACCTAATTGGCCAATTGGCAATGCTTTTCTGACTTAGTGCTTACAGTGGGCTAAAACAGCCATTCCGATTCAGACATTGCAAAATAATTGAGAAGATTTTGCTATTTTAGCAAAACTATTTGACATTTAAAGGTCACATGGCATATAGCTTGATGTATAGTTACAGGAAAGTAGCCGCCCTTTCTTTCTCCATTCTATACACACAGTTCAGAAACTCTTGTAGGCTGAAAAGGAAGATTAGAGCTGTTTATATTTTATTTTCATTGCATGATCTGAAATCTTGGGGACTCTATATCTGGAAAATGCATGTGGCCCTCCACATGACACGTGAGTTGGGAATGCAACAAATACCATGCCTTCTGTACTCTCAATGTCCCCAGAGCGGGAGAAACAGAGTGCTCTACCTAACCTGAAGTACACTAGGAATGGAGACACATGGCTCCCTTTCTCTGAGGAACTCCAAGCAATTCATAAACTACATCTAGCTGGCAGTTGTAGGTGTTTCTAGTTGATATGGTAAAAAGCTCTGAGTTTTAAACTTCTGGTTAAAATGTGGGTGATGGTTATTAAGTGCAAGGCAAATTTAAATGTCTACAATACCACTTAGCAAACACCCAGAAAGTTCTATTAGAAAGAAAGGTACAGTGCCTTTTCATTGTGTTAGGATCACCAGCAACCACCATACACTAACTAGGGATAAACATTGTGAAGACCAGACAGTAAACCAAGAGCACTTGCAGCCTAACACAGTCTCTACAGCACAGTCTTCTTGCCTTGATCTATTACCATCTTCTAAAAATGGGGCATTTTGAAATGCAAACCATGTAAAAACAGACAAAAGGTCACATTTGTCCTACTGACTTTAATTTTCCAAGCCATAATCTAAATTGAGAAAGAACAAAAATTTTAAAAATATTTTATATTGACTACCATGATTCTGCCTAATCCTTCTCTGATGCTGAAGATATTGTTCTTCATTAATTAATGGCCTCATCTTCAGCATAGCATTTAAACTTTGTAATTCCCTTTCTCCATAACCTATGACATTCTCTTGTCCCTAAGCTTTACTCTCATAATAATTATATTTCCCTACTTAGTGACAAAATTCAACCATGATCTGCTGATTTCAGTAGTGAAGACTCTAGCTGCTTTGATCTGCATTCTTTTTTTTCTTCTTTTTTTTTAAATTTTATTTTCCAGTTTAAATTGATCTGCATTCTTAACCCTTTGAAAACTATTGTCCTATAGTGTATGCTCAACAGTCTTTCACTGAATGATTATTTATTTAGAGCTCAGATTCCCTGAATCATATGAATTAAAGGTAAAATGATTGAATGTTGGACCAAAATAGCCCTTCCAGGAAGACTGCTGAGCAAATAGTCAGCTCGCATGTAACTATCTTAAATAATTTATACCAATATTGCCCATGGTAAAATATTTCCATATTTTTCTAAACAATGCCTGAATAGTCATGTGAAAAATAGAAGAATAATTATTTTAAATCTCATCCAGAACAAATTAACTTTTAATCATATACCATTAATCCTAAGCATATGGGATAACTCATGAACAACTAGCTACTGTTTTATGCTGAATGATTGTGAAAGGTTAGCTTAGACGAAAAATCAGGAGAGTCTAAATTGGAATCTTCTACCACTGTGTCATCACAAGCATCTTCCTTGGTTTACCCAGTTATTCACAGGCTGATTTGTATATAAGAATATCCAGAGATTGACGGATAAGAAGCTAGAACTCCAATTCCTTCTGTATGAGCTGTCAGCACACTTAGGCATGTGATTTTGAGGGAGTTGCTCTCATCTCCCGAACACATCAGCACATAATAGACATGCCAGCTGTGTTCCTTGAAACACGAGGCATACATGTGGAAACAATAAATCATCTACTTTGACTAATTCATTTTTAGATCTGAATTGCCAAAGTCAGATGTTTAGGAAGACCGAAGCTAGTGTAATTTTACAATGCTCAGTCAACAACAATTAAAGTGCTTGATTAAACTTCCCCTCTTTATTAACTTGTTGTCTTATTTTTAAATGAAACATAGAAGTAAAACTTTCATTCCTGACAAATTTGCCCATACTTTTATTAAAAGCATGCAGCTAATTTATGCAATGACTTAATTGTTTCTACATGGGAAATGTCTCCTTTGTCATATTTGTATTGTATGGGTTTCTTAAGTTGTCACTGAGATGATTTGCTAAAAACGTCAGTGATTTTCCTTTTTTTAAACAGGATTTTGTTTCAGGTGGATCAAGAAGTGGACGTTGTGATACCGTTTCCAATCTGATAAGCAAAGGCTGTCCAGTTGACTCGGTAGAACACCTGTCAGTGCGCATAATGACACCAAGTGAGAATGAAATCAATACCCAAGTGACACCAGGAGAAGTCTCAATCCAACTGCATCCAGGTTTGGTGATTTTTAAAGAAATCTGTGATGCCCACTAATTTGCGATGATCATAGTGGCTTGCTCACAATTAATATGATGCAGCAGGCAGTACTGTGGTTGAAATCTTACTGAGCTCAGATCAAGGAATCAAATCTAGTCCCTGTCATGCTCGTAGCTAAGCTGGGTGGCCTGGGCCACACTATAAACCTCACCACAACCTATTATAACTCAGTTCTGATCACATGGGCCAGTCACACTGTGATGTACTTGTGCTCTGGATCCAATGAAGCTCTTGGGGAAGAGAACTTTTTCTTGCATTTAGTTATTGAGCTGGTAGAGGGAGAGGAGGCACACACATGCCACAGTGCACAGAGAGGTCAGAGAACAACTTGCAGGAATCGAGTCTCTCTTTCAGTCATGTCTGTTCTGATGATTGCATGACCATTGTCACCCCTGGTAGCAATTGTTCATACCTGCTAAGCCCAGAAAGGGAACATAAATTGTTTTATTTCTCCATTTCTCAGAGTGCTACTATAAATTCTCCATAAGTACTTATATGATGCATTGATTCACTAGTTAGTGGGAAATACAAATTACTTAAGTACTTAGAGTCTTTGCAATGAACTTTTAAACGCAAAACTATCATTCATTATCACCATAATTACCTTAAACAGCTCTGTGATGGCATTTGAGATTAGTGTGTACTTTTCCTCATGCATTTCTCTGATATCTCTCCTATAGCAGTGTGTCCCTACAGTCTGACACATGTTGTAGCTCTGGAAAATGTCCATTCCCCCAGGAACATAGAATTCCAAAATATGAACTATATCCAAGATGTCAAAACATGCAGATATGTGCCACAGATAAAAAAGACTGGTTTAAAATATTAAATTATTTTCAACTCTTCATTAGTGGGTAGTCATGTCTTGTCATTGGTTTTTAAAATAATAATAATAATTGTTATAATAAAATAATAATAATGATAATAAAATTCTTGCTATACTTTTCATCCCACTATTTTTTTCCAGACTAATTAGTTACCAGCAAAACAAAGTCTGTTCCTAGCTTCCAGTTACAACTGGGTTCTTCACCATGTAAAATAATGATAGAGCTTGATATGGAAGTATATGAGGGCCAGCAGGAAAGAGATGCATAGCCAGTGCAGGAATTCTAATTCAGTTGGTAAAGATTATGGTCTTGCCACCTACTATTGAAAAAAAAGAACAATGTTTATCCAATCCAGTGTATTCACTAAAATCTGCCCTTAGTATTCCAATAATTACAGGTCTTGCCTCCACATAGTCTACTAAAGTTATAATTGTCCCACTACTTCTAATGATTTTTTTTCTCTACCTGGTTTTACAGTAGGTTCATGAGCTCAGGTTTTCTAATCTCTCCTAAAAAACTTGTAAAAGCCCCAGTCTCCAGATCTTGACAGCGTTCTCATCCACTTTTTCCACCTTTGCCTCCAGAGTCTTTATGGAGTGGGCTTGTTTGCTTGTTTGTTTTCTGTGTTAACATTAAATAGTAACACACATGACACTCCATTACATGTTGGCTTTCTGACTCCTGTGGCTGAGTTAACTCCCAGAGCACACCTGAATTTGAAGGTACTTGGCTACCATGGTCTTTATCCCAAGGCTCTCTTCAAATCCTACAGATTCCTGCATCACCACTCTGTACTTAACTTCAACAAGTTCTTCGTGATAGGAGAGCTTAACAGTATCCCTTTCAATATCTTCAGAGGAAGCAAGGGGTGGGTGGGATTATAAGGCACAACAGCTGAGCTTAATTCGTAAATTTGATGCTTTAGTCTGTTTAGCTGCCACCACAGAATGCCTTATACACTTGGTGGCACAGATGATAGAATTGCCTTTTCTCACAGTTACAAAAAGGCTTAAATTTCAAAGGTCGGGGAAGTTCAAGAATGAGGTACAGGCTGATTTGGTTTCTAGTGAGGGTTCTCCAGGCTTACAGGTGTTCACTTCCTGATGAGTCCTCCCATGGAAGAGTTGAGGGGGAAAGAAATGGGGGTGGTGTGAAGTGAGGCTCTCCAGTCTCAAAGGACCACAAATCCTATGATGAAGCGCCACCCCCCACGATCTCATCTAAACCTAACTAAACCCCGAGGCCTCATCTCCAAATACGATTCAGTTTATAATACTTGTTAAGTAAATTGTTATTTTTTTAAAGTCCACAGACAACCCAGTTACAAAAAGTAAAAGTTTTTTCATGACCCATTATTTTTAAGCACAGTGCCACAAAATTTTAAATTAGGTCAAAAGATATAATCAAAATTCTAGTCATAAACTAATAGTAACAGTAACAAATTACATTCAAATATATAGGTTATACTTTAATTGTTCTATGTAGGAGGAAGTCTGTATGCCGCCATTAACCATGTGACTTACTAGAGGCGCATACAGATGAGACAATAAGAGCGGTTTACCACACCACTAACCACACTCACTTTGGGCATGACTAAAGACGTATACAGACGGACGTAGGCGGTGAACTACATCACTAGCCAGGCCCACTTTTGGGCATGGCTAGGGGGCATTATGGGGGAAGGCATAAAAGACAGCACACAGGAAGTCTTGGTCTCTTTTCCTGGATTTCGGCTTCCGGTTCAGCAGCGGGAAAACTACTGGGCTCATCTGGGTTACTTGCTTGGTATCTTGTGAGTAATTTCTACAATAAATACTTAGTTTTACTTTCAGTAAGTGTGCTGTTTATTGTTACAGCATCAGTTCTAAAAACTTGAAAGGTTTGCTTTTATTTTGAAAGAAGCAATCATAAAACAAAAGGAAAAAAATAATAAATTTAAAATAATAAAATTAATGAAATATAGCATTAAGTAAAATGTAAATAGATATGAGTTTGTTCTCTGTAAAACTCAATAAGAATAATAAATTGTTAGTAAGTCTAGTGTAGAAATGAATACAAAAAATTGGCTAGTTGAATAATAAATATTCACTAAGTATTTAGGTCTGAACACTTACAAAGTAAGAAGTGCTTTGCATCTATTCAAACTTTCAAGGAACACATTATACCTGTGTCATATAAATTCTTAGAAAGATTTACAACAGACCTGCAAGCTACTTAGTTGTTGTGAGTCAGTATAACCTCCTTGTCAACGCCTTAATAAAAAACTGTAGCAAATCAAATCAGACTACATTTGCTAAGAACCACTGTGTCCAGATAAACAAAAGAATATGATGTTCCCAAACAAGAAGATGTTATTTTGACAATTACAAGTCTCTGTAAACACTGTTAAAAGATATTCAGCAAAGGTGAGATAACCCCAATTAAGTTCAAATATAGTTTTTCTAAACAAAACAGCACATTTCTTTAGAATATGCTGCTAAAAGTACATTTCCTAGGTAAATTAGTTTTCTGTTGCTGAGGCAAAAATACCTCAGAAAATTGAAGATTTGCTTTGGTTTGTGATATCAGATTTTCTACCACAGTCACTTGGCCCCATTGTTTTAGGGCCTGTGAGACACTTCATCATGGCAGGAAGATGAGTCCTGTTTATCTTAGGGGCAAAGAGAAAGAAACAGGGGTCCCATTATCCATCCAAAGGCATACCTCCAATGACTAACTTCATCTAACCAAGTTCCACTACTTTCTTAAATTTTTCTACCAATAACTCTGGAGGCTGGATCAGACATTTAACTTATGGGGCCCTTGCAAACATTCAAGTTTCAAATTGTAAGGCAAGAAATTTTGTTTATATTTTTAATGTGTATTCATTCCCATATACTTTCTAAGAACTGAGAATCATTTAGATTTACATGAGTCAAGCTTCCTGTCTTATTCATGTTAATGTCTTCGGGCTTTTAATTAGAAATTTTATTTCATTGTGTGTGTGTGTGTGTGTGTGTGTGTGTGTGTGTGTGTGTGTGTGTGTGTACAGGCATGCATGCTGCAGCTCATGAGGGGAGGTCAAAGGACAATTGGTGGGAGTCAGTTCTTTCTTTCCATCATGTGAGTCCCAGGGATAGAGCTTGAGTCATCAGTAGGAGGCACCATTACAGGTTGAGCCATCTCACTGGCCCAGTCTTCAGTGTTTTCAGTTTCACTGGTCCATGAGCTGTCTGCCCTTGCCCTTCCCCCAATCAATACTAGGATGCTTGAACATCTTTTGTAAGCTTACTATTACTAACCATCTTTAGCTCTAGGTTTCAGGTGGGATTTGCTTTTCCGTACTAATGAGCCAATGACCCTATCTTTATAATTAAATACAAAGTTCCAGCAGGTTATCCTATTTTATATATTATTTGTTGTTGTTAATAAATGCAACTGTATCCTTAAAATGCCATACTCTTTAGAAAACATTTGCAATGGAAGGACCTATAAATTGCAACTTTTTGCTTCTTTGTTCAATTCATACACATCAATAATTATTGTTTTCCCCTTTTGTAGCTATATTAATAATTTAAGTCTTCGGGGGGTTTCAGAGAAGAAAAGCAGTCCTTATTGTGAGGCTATTTAGAATCCAGTAGAAATAATGGCGATAATTACTAACATATATGCATTTACTGTGTGACAAATATGGAACTAAGTATTCTGTGTAAAGCTATCTCACAGTAGCTTTTAGAAATTGAAAGAAGATAAAGATACCATGTCTGGTACCTCCTAATTATATGGTAAACATTAAAATGATGGTGTATGATCCAGTTGCTAGGGAAACAAGGCAGGGAGTCTCAGCCTGGTCCAAGTAGGAGTAGCTTATGGAAGAGTGTCTTAAAGCAGTGATTACAAGAAGAAATGGAGGTTAGCTTACCACAGGCAAAAGGAACACAAACAGAGCACGGAAGTGTGGGTTTCCAGAGTACTTCCCGGGACTTAGGAGCCGTCCTGTCTTGTTGGACTTAAGACGAAGATGGAATTAACATGATGAGGTGCTTCGATCACAATGATCAGCTACTTGGGCACCTTAAGCAGGCAGTGATGTATACAAGCTTTGAGTTTTTAAAAGAAAGAGTCCGTGGTATAGTGACCTTGGGAAAGCAGCACTGCAAAGGACAGCAAAGAGAGAAGGCAAGACGCTACAAAAGCCAAGCAAGGGAGGGGAGAGTCAGAAAGAGTAGAGTTTGAGGCCAACCTGACTACATAGTGAGATCTTGTCTGAAACAACAATTAACAGTGGAAGAGGATAAGACAAGAGGTGAAGAGATTCATTAAGAAAACAAAAAAATGGCAAGGAGGAAATATTATGGTCAGACCCAGATTTTAGTCAGTTATAACCATTTTTCCACATGGTTGGCCTTGATTATCAACTATGTTTAGTGGTTTGACTGTTTAATGTGGAGGATGGGATCTAAAACTAATTAGAAAATGTAGTTTAAGTCACACACACACACACACACACACACACACACACACACACACACAAGAGGGACCTCCATGCAGGAGAATCTGACGATATTTTTAAGGATACTCATATGAATGCACACCCCAGTATCCTCTTCACAGTCACCTGCGCTCCACAGATAGAAGTTGATGAAGACAAGGAAGAGTATGTGCCACAGCTGCAAGGACTTGAAAGAAACTGAGGCACAGTCAGAAACTCACTTTTCATTGTCTAAGATTTCCTCTTTGTGAGACTGGTAAAGAAAGATGCCAGCAACATAATCAATCATTGCCCTTTTCCTCAACACTCAAGGCAAAGGGATATAAGTAACTATGGTCAACTACAGCACCCACCCTCAGTAACATATGTCCTCCAGCAAGGGCACACCTCTTAGTCCTTCCCAAACAGTTCCACTGACTAGACATCAAGTATTCAAACATGTGAGCCCACGGGGGCAATTCTCATCCAAACCATCCTAACCCTGAAAAAGTAATATTATTTAGATAAAATCACCTTGAAAATAGCATTTTACCACTAATTAGAAATGCATCAGGTTATTCTTTTTAATTTAATTATTTTTATGTGTAAGGGCTATCTACCCTTAACTGGGAAAACCTCACTGGAATCTTGAAATGTAAAAGTAGCAATTTCTGTTCTCTTGTGCAATGACTAAAAGGCCAAAGTATGAAAACGTTTATTTTTAAATGACAAATTGTCCACTTGAGGTCTTAGCCCATGTTGAGAACTGACCCAGGTACCTGTGCTAAGGCCAGCATCTAGGCAACCCAGGATCCTGTCACAGTAACCTCCAGGACTTTCTCATCGCCTCTCATCTGCTGAGCCAGTGAAAGGAAATTTTGCTGGCTAGGCTGTGAACAAGTGTCAGCACAGGTCCCCGTGTCTGGAGTACCTTCAGTAGCTTAGGCCCCCAAGGATGCCTTTGCTGATGTTGCACAAACTGTGTCTTTCACTGAGGTCAGCGTCCTGTACCTTTGCTGAGTCCTATGCACAATCTGCTGAATAACTGCGACATCTAGCACCGTCTGTAAAAACACAGAGAGTCATTCAATGTCAGGCTGAGTCATCATAAGTTGCAATGATTCACCAAGATAAAATTACCACGTGGCTAATGCCTAAGGCCTTTAGCAATATGTCCAAGTCAACAGTTAAAAAAAAAAAGCCACACAATTTATCTATTCCTTAAATGTTGACCCATGTGTCAAGCCCTTCTACATGAACTACGCTCTTTTTCTTTTTTAATCTGGTCCTGTGTACTAGTTTCTGATGTCTTCCTGCATGTAATTATCCACTTTAATTACAGAATGTTTCTTTACTGGTACTTTTCTGTACAGAGCCAAAAGATGAACAGAGAAAATGCTCTCTGGAAGCAGCCCAGCTCCTAAAGAGGGGTAGAGAATGGGTGAGGGTGGGGGGGTAGAGAATGGGTGAGGGTGAGTTACACTCGCTCACTTTTCATTCTAAACTTCTGGAATGCAGAACTTGGAGCATTTCATCCACACAGCTTCCTACTCAGGCAGGAAACTGGAAATGAATGAACACCCTTCCTTTTCTTTATTTGGTCTTATCTGCCAGTAAAGCATTGCTGTTTTGATAGGTTAGATAGTTCAGATTGAACAACATTGGAATTGTATAAGAATTTAAAGGAAAATACAGGAATAATTCATCGATTAGGTAAATATTTTAATAAGTGTATCATCCTACTGACTATGTGGATATACAAATTGTAATTTACTTTTATAAAATATTTCACAATCGAAATGTTCCCCATGGGTGAATAGTTAATGACCCAAAACCATTCGATTTATTATTTTAAAGGAAAAAATTCACAAATTGTAAGTGGTGACTTTTCCCAATATATCTTATTCAGACCCAGAATCTGAAGGGTCTACATGAATAACCCAGATCCTACGTCAAATCATAATATGACCAAGAACTAAATATCCTGAACTGCAAACAGGTGCCCTTGAGAAACTCTGTACCTGTTGTGGGAATGACTGTCTCTTCCAATCCAGTTAATTTGCTCAAGGCCAATACCTGGCCTCTGTGATCTTCATACATTTGCTGAGCCCTCTCTGTGAGTTGAACTGATAATCTGCACACCTTCAATACGGCATGTCTGGTTTTCTGCTGTGACCCACTGTCTCACCCACTAACCAACAGGAAGAAGCTCATCAGCTGATTCATAATGTACATTCATGTTCATTATCTCAAAGGGTTTCATTTACTGTCAAGGACCAAAGGGTTCATATGTCACTGATAAAGGCATCTTGCCTCAGAAGGATGATTTCACACCTACATTTAGTAAAAGGTCATTTTTTAAAAAGACCTTTTCTGATTTGCCTCAGACCATTCCCTGAGCACAGACGCCTGTTCCTTTTTCAGACGGATCGCTGTTTTTTTTTTTTTCTGCTTTGTGCTTTCCTAGCTCTGAGAGTGATGACCAATTCATGTTATATACATGAATTCTCCTATATTTGTATTGAGCTGGTCTGTTTTTTTTTGTTGTCTCTAGAATTGCCATAAATGCATTGTTGTAACTTAGATCTGAAATGTCCCTTAAGGTTCTTGTGTTTGAACACTTGGTTCCCAGATTCTGACACTGTTTGGGATGGATATGGCTGGGGGAGTGATAGCCTTTTGTGAGCTGGACACAGCTCTGCTTCCTTCTGTAGCATTCTGCTTCCTGGTCTACAAAGATGAGAAAAAGTGAATCATCCAGCTGCTGCAGCCCCAACTATCATGCGGTCCCCATCATGATAATGGGCTGTATCCTCTGATCTGTGAGCCCAAACAATCATTTTCTGCTTAAGTTGCCTCTATCCACTACTGGATCTTAACGATGAGGAAAGTAAGATGGCTCAGTGGCTACAGGGGCTTGCCACACCTGACCATCCAGAGTTCAATCTCGGAGATCCAAAGGCAAGCGGCTCAGTACTGTTTATGATTCCTACAAGTTGTCATGTGACCTTAACACATATGTGCACATGCCAAATGCAATTGAAAATGTCATTTACTTACTGACCTCTAAGATGTGTAAATGAAGACTATGTGATATTTTTCTCTCTTTGTATTAGGAGCTGAAGCTAATTTTATGTTAAAAATCCGTCCTCTGAAGAAATATCCTGTGGATCTTTATTATCTGGTTGATGTGTCGGCATCAATGCACAATAATATAGAAAAACTGAATTCCGTTGGAAATGACTTATCCAAAAAAATGGCATTTTTCTCCCGTGACTTCCGTCTTGGTTTTGGCTCGTACGTGGATAAAACTGTTTCACCTTACATTAGCATCCACCCAGAAAGGATCCACAATCAGTGCAGGTAGCTAATGTTTCATGTGGATAGTATTAAAAGAATCTTTCTTTTTAAAAAAATCTCATGTTGTTTGTTCTTATAGACTTACCATGTTTCAAAATATTGTCTTATTAAATAAAAATCTAAAAATATTTCAGGAGGATCCTTGTTCCTGTATGGAAATATTTGCCTGTAGCTTGGATTTTAAGTTATATTCCTTCAAATATTATTTGTTCACTTTTTTGTCATACAAAAGACTCTTAACCTATTATTAGTAATCCTGTATATATTTCCAACAATGAGGCGAGCATGAATATGAATACCTCTGGAAATTCTATATCCCTCCTTTGTGGTTGCTCCAAATTTGTTGAATTTAGGTTTGCCCCATTTTAGAGTATTCATCACCTCAATGCTACACTGATATCTTACTGTATTGTGATGGTATATATTTATGTTGTTAATGATGTAGCCAACTGCCTCAAAGACCAAGGATCAAGCAATAAGAATTTGATTATACATAGCATTTGCCTTCAAGCATGCAAGTTTTCATACAGTGTCACCTGTTGAATTTTCACAGAAATATCTTTATAAATCTCTTGTTCCATAAGTAATTTTCTTTTTAGATACTTTCTGCTTCTATAAACTGTGCAAATCATTTCATTCTACACTTTCCAACTTGCAGAAATAGTTACTATTACGCACACAAAGTGAGATTGGTTTACCTTTTACAAGTCTTTGTGAAGTCTTTTCTTAATTGCTATTTATCATTTCCTGTGGTTTTCTGAGGTCAGGGATTACTTTGTTGCTCAGACTGACACTGAATTCATGAATCCTCCAGCCTCTGCTTTCTGAGAGCTTGGGGTTACATCTTGGACAATCTCCTAGAAGGAGAGCCCACCTGAGGAATGAGTCTCTTTCTGAGATGCAAGAGTGCTATTCGAAGTTATTCTCATACATGTACTGCTCACTAATAATTCCACAGCAAGCATCACTTTCAAAATTAATGTGATATCTTTTTAGAAAAAAAGTAATATGCTATTTGAGCTGGATTTACAAACTATCTCCCTGGATGTGTTTCTCATCAGCTCCAAGCCCAACTGTGATAGGAAATTACAAATTCTTATGTTCCTCTTTAAAATTCAGTGTTCATTAGCATACCAAAGTGTTTCATTCTCCTGTAATCATGAAACACATGGGATTTTCTTCATTTTTGAACATCAACCTTACAGCTCTATTTTCTCCTCACAGACAAACTTCACCAACCTTAAACTCACTAATCATATAGATTTTTATGTTGTTAAAATTCCCTACTCATCCAAAAAAAAACCCTTCCTTCTTATAGCAACTGTTAGTGGTACTTTGAGAAATTTAAGGAAGCATAGAAAAGTAGATTTTGCACTTCTTTCTCCCACACAGTGACTACAATTTAGACTGTATGCCTCCCCACGGATACATCCATGTGCTGTCTCTGACAGAAAACATCACTGAGTTTGAAAAAGCAGTCCACAGACAAAAGATCTCTGGAAACATAGATACTCCTGAAGGAGGTTTCGATGCCATGCTCCAGGCTGCTGTCTGTGAGGTAAGAAGTTTTGCATGCTGAGTGTTTGGGTTCTCAGATGTAGCAGAGGATGTAAGGGTTTTATGTTCTGGTTGTATCATGGAAGAACATAGAAGAATATATTTTTTTAAAAGAGATCTCATTTCTCATCACTATTAGGATTCATTTTGGTATATGTTGGGATAGGGGGCTAAGCTGGGAAAGGGTAACAGAAAGAAGATAAGGTTCAGCAAATGGGATGCTCTTTGCTCGTACATACCCCATGAAAAAGTCAGAAAGAGCCTGTTGTCCCATTCCCGTCATGTTTTCTGGCTTATTATTCCTCCAGTGAGGGAGTAAAGGGTCAATACATGGGCATGCTATTTTAGAGACAGTACCTCATTCATCCTGATTTAATGTTTGTCAACTGGAATATGTCCTTTACTCAAGGCCAAGACCACAGTGAGATAGATCCATGTCATTGTACAGGGTCTAATTACATGTTTATTTTAAGAGTCATATTGGATGGCGAAAAGAAGCTAAAAGATTGCTGCTGGTGATGACAGACCAGACATCACATCTTGCTCTTGATAGCAAACTGGCAGGCATAGTGGTGCCAAATGACGGAAGTTGCCATCTGAAAAACAATGTCTACGTCAAATCTACAACCATGGTAATGTAGCAACAGCTCCTTCCTAGCTGTGATGACTCACTGGGCTAAAATGAAAGTTTAAATTGTCCATTCAGCCATTCTTATGCCAGGAAATTACCAAAAAAAGCAAGATGTAGAACCAAGATGGGCCAGGAATCAACACCTATGGAGCAGTACGGTATAGCTGCCGCTCAAGAAAGTTGATGGATAAAAGATATTGACATTGTCTAGTTGCAGATTCTTTGACTAGCTACTACGAATGGTAGAATATTTGAAATAAAGTGACACAAGATCTAATTTTCAAGTGATTTGGACCTTGAAAAGAAACAAAAACATGGCTTTGTTTTCGTAGAAATGCACTAGTTCTATGAGGTTGATATCTATAAATAGAAAAAGAAGTGATAAGAAAAAATGGAATTGGTCTAAGGCATCTTCAGAATATAGTACTAAATAAGCTAAATAAAGATCATAGGGGAAAGCATAAAACAAGGCAGGCTTTGTGTATCCAGATCACTCATCCTCCCTCTGTAACACATCTTTGTGTAGGACTGCTTGTTAGACGAATCCTGTCTGAATTGCTCCCTAGAGGTTAGCATAAGATTTGAATCATGTATTTAGATGTAAACTTTTATCATCACATCTTCCCCAGCATTAGCTAACTGCAGATATTGAAAAAAAAGAACAAAGTATCATTTGTGTCTGATGTTGACAGCCATTTACTTGCAAATGTTTTGAATAAAGCTGGCAAATTTCTCAGTTCACAAACCTCATTGCCTAGTACCACATAAACTAGGCATGGTGGTACCTGCTAAAATTCCAGAATTCAGGAGGTGGAGACAAGGGGATCAGAGATTCAGTGTCATCCTCGACTAAATTGCAAGTTCAATACCAACCTGGGCACATCAGACTGTTTCAAATAATATAGTAAAATGAAATAATAAACTATAATAAATTCAATATTTAGCATATTTAAAATTCAGGCTTTGGAATAACTCCAGGGGCAACTTTCTCTTTGCTAATTCTCTCCTATGCAGCTACATTTCACTTCTAGTTACTCATTTCTTATCTGGCTTTCTTTCTACTTTGGCCTTATTTAATCTAGGGTAGAGGTCTAATGTGTTCTTTGGCTTGAAAGAGGAGACAGGAGGAGCTACTCTATTTTGAGACAGAGGGAAGCTTTTTAAAGGAGAAATGACAATGGTATGATTCCTGTTATTCTTTTGAAGTCTTGCCAAGTTACTGACATCATCTCTTCATCAGTTTATTTGAAAGGATGTAGTGGCTCATCCAGGGAAGAATCTTTCAGCAAAAAATAAAATGTTGACATGATATTAGACCTAGCTTTTACTAAAAAACCTTGTGGGGATAAGTTGTAATTTTTATATATTTTTTATAGAATTTTAAACCTCATTTGAGTTATTATGATATGAGGAAAACAAGCAATGCATCATGTCCATCTTTTGTGTTCCTGGCCATTATTCTATCTATTTAGAGGAATGACTTCTGCACATGTCATTCCTGTGATTTATTGGGTAAATCAAAGAGAAGTTCACTTTGATAATAACTTAAAGAAAACCTTTATTAAAGATACACCAGATCTGTATTTTAAAGGATCCCCTTGCTGACAATTCTTGTTGCTAGCAACAATGGCCAAAAACAATCTAGTGCATTATAATGACTCTTTGGTTATATGGCCATATGTAAAATGTGCAATGAGTGACTCTGAAGCTTGGTGTGTCTCAGGCTATCTTGACCCCATCTCTAGGCATTTATCTATCTACCTGCTTTTTAAACACTCCCCATTCTTTTCATGAATACTATGATGGAATTCTAAATTTGTTACAGTTAAGCAAGGAATCAAACACTCTGCTTCCTAGTTTTATCTCCAGAAATCAATGCCAGTAATGATACAAGACTTCTTGACCCAAAGACTTTGGTCTTTGTATTTATAAAGGGAGATGAATGATTAAATGTCTCTTGTGTGTCTGAATCACAGGGATCAGAGTTATATTTTTGAGTTACAACAATTTCAGTAAGATCAATGTAATCCCACACTAATCACAATGAGAATCCATCGGCTGAAAGTATCTTTGCAAACACATTGCATACAGTTGTCATTACAACTCTATATAGTAGCAAGAATACTAAAAGTTAGAAAAGCTAAGTTAAATATGTATAAAGACTACAAGCCACTAAACTAACTGTAGATATGGGATCCACTGTATTTCAATCTATATTCCTAACCACCTTACCAAAGTGTCTCAACCAAAAAGTAAAGAAATAGGGAGATGGTTTTCCTGGTGTGTTTTCAGTTTTAAACTTTTACACTGTAGCCTTTACCTACAGAAGAATAAACCTAGAGACCTTGGTTTTATCTGAATTATAAAAGAAGATTTAAGATAACTTCTCTCTAGGCTGTTGGCATTAAACTATTAAATAAATCTATTTTCTAGTGTTTTTTTTCCATTACACTAAATGTCATAACAAAACATGAGTAGTCACCTAGTGCTTAAACCTGCCCAGCAATAATGTCAGTTTAAAGTATGGCATTATATCCAAAGAGACAGAGGTTAATATAAAATTGTTGGTGATGGAAAAGATATAATACTTAAGACCTAGAAGTCCATTCTGTTTCCCCATCCAATTTTGCCACATTAGTCAACCTCATTCAGAGCCCTCCCATTAATCCCACCCTTAGCAAAAGCCAAGAATTATACAAAGATCTTCAACCATAATGAAAGGAGACACGTGTGTGGAGGCATTGAGTGAACCTGGCCAATGGGCAGTTCAAATTCTCAGGAAGTGAATACACAAATGCAAACAGACGTACTAGTGTCTCCTGCTCAGACTTGGTGTTTCATGCTCTTCATGGCTTTCATGTGCCCCATTATTAGTCAGCGATTCTTTACTTTTCTTTCACACACCTACAAAGAACTTCTTACCACTTGTTCCACCTGTCATTCCTCTCCCTGAACGCCCAGTGGGATAAAGTAGCCGCTGACTGGGTCAGCATCTTAGATGACTGATGTACAACTGCTAAAGGAGATTCACTATTCCTGCAGATTTATGCTTCCCTTCGTGGAAAGATATTCAAAACTCTTGCTCTTCCTCTCACAAAGTTTTGCTTAATATGCAATCTGTGAAGCTTTCCATTGGTCATGAAAGTGCATTTTTATAACTGCTAATGAAGAAAGTAAGGTTAATAACATACTTGATTATTTTAATTCATAGCTTAGCTACATGAATTAATAGCTTTTATGAATTATTACATTTCAGTGCTCTTTTTTTTACTAAAGTCGCGTTTCTTTAGAAATTTCAAAGTCACGAAGGCATTTATAACTCATAGTGATGTCAGACAATTAAGCAAAGACTTGTAATATTTTAGTAAAGATTTGTTAATTATTTTTGCAGCTCTTGATTAAGAAATGGACTCTTCAATGTTAGAAAGTTTTAAACATCTTTTCACTTTTCATTGTGTGTCCTGGAAGCATTAATAAAAATACTTATGCTGTAGCACTCTTAAATACTTCTAGAAAGCTGGAAGCCTGTATGAAATTTTAACAAATATTGTTGCAACTTGTGGGTTTTTTTAAACTAACAAAACATTTGATAGCAGCTGACTGTACTATTTGCTTTAAACTGCAAACATGCTAGGAATATTTTTCAGTCATTTTATGAACCCAATTTGAATGCTCTATGTGTTCTCAGAAAAGCAGCCAGGAAATGATCTCTACAAGCAATACCTAACTGAGCTTACTCATAATTGAAAGCAAATGCTGTATGCAGAAATCACCTACTCCAGGATCACAGGAGTCTGGCTCTGTTTCTATAGAACCTCTGAAAAGGGATTCAACTAATGTCTAAAGACTAAGATCATGAACATTTAAATTTCATTTACAAGTTTATGGGACAAACTATCTTGCTTAAATTAAATGTTTGTGCTAAAACATTTAAGCAGAAAACATCCATTCCCATTCTTTTTGAGAAGCTTACAAAGACTGTTAGTCCTTGCCCTTCTTTACCAAGTAGAGTTTCATGATTACAGTTGACAGCGTTTGGGTTAGAGTAGATAAATTCAACCACCCCCAGGAGCCAGGGGAACAGGGTTAATAAGTGGGGGAGATTCACCAAAGCACATGTGAGAGCATGCCTACAGTGTTTACTGGCAGCATCTTTTATTTAAAATGGTCTTTTACTACATAGTCCTTTTGTGCATGTCCTTTTACTTTTTGGAAGTACAACCTCACAGCCAAGAAGGAGGGATGATGCTTTTCTTCTCTTGGGTAAAGAAGGTCATAATCAGTAGCTGAACATAATCCCACTCTACTCCATGACAGACCCTGTGTTCGGGGTCAGTCAGTGGGACATCAGGACCTAGGCCATTTCTCACCGTTGGTATGGGTTCAGTAATTACAGAATCCTAGAGCAAAGACTTTTTATTCAGTTCATTTATGTGAGAGGGAACCACTCTATTTCTCAGAAATATAAACTAGTATTTCTATATGACTTAATCATTTGGAAAAAGGACCCCAGATAGCTTAAAACTGTGTCCTGGTCACATAGTGTGTGATCAACATCCCCTCCCAATGACACCTACCTGAGATGATCAGCTTATAAAGAGGTAGGGCTTATTTTGAATTACAGTTTGGGAGGTTGTAACCCATGAACATTTGTCCCCATCACATTGGGACTGTGGTGGCAAAATTACTTAACATGTGGCCAGGGAGCAAAAGAGGGTAAGAGGCCAGGGGCCCAGAGTCTCCTCCCAGGGCATGACCCAGTGGCCTGAATACTTCTAATAAACCCCACCAGTCAAAGGTTCTGCTATCACTCCCTAGCTTCACAGTGTGTGGACCAGGCTTCCACCAAGTGGGCTATTGAGAAACATTTAAGATCCAAACTAAGAGCAAAGTTGCAAGTTGCAGAGCTGGAAAATGTCGCTCCAGCATCATTGCTCTGTCCAGAGCACCAGTTCTTGATTCTCTATGGGATATTTCATTTTTAAGAGGACATTTCCATGCCAAAGACATTTTAGCTATCATGGCAGGGGAAAGGGGTGTTACCATTTAGTGGGTAGTCAAACACTATGTTTCACATCCTGTATTGCATACGACAGTCCGTATTTCATAGGTTACCCTGTACAGATTCTCTCAAAACAATCTGATGTTCAGCCCCAAATGTTGGCAGCCCCACTGCTGCCCAACCTGCCCTATGTCATTACCAGGATCTACCACGTTCTTAAAACCCAGGCTGTTGAGACAGAAGTAGACAGACAATGTGTCTTTCGAGTTTTGATCTCCAAATAAATTTTCACTATCACACTTAGTCTGTTTCATTCCTTTAAAACATAAACTCACTGAAAACTGAAGTTTTCCATATCTTATTACAGTTCTTGGTACTACAAACTCTAACTTACCATAACCTCTTCAATTAATTTTTACTTAAACTAAGAGACTCTTTAACATTTTCTTTGTTCCCTTGACCATGCATATTGTTATAATTCAACTGTGCTTCCCAAAGAGTAATCTCTTTGACTGAAAGTGTTCTTCCCTCCTGACATTTATAAGTCACTCCCCACAAGCTTAATCACTTAGCCCTGCTCCTGGCATGTTCCTTCCCTTCTCCCTTTTGCCTCTGAAATGTACCTTATCTCCATTAATTATTTTCTGAGTTTGGAGAAGCAATATAATGGGTTAGGTGGAGGGAGGAGGGCATATGTGCTAGATTTGAGGAGTCATGACATCACCAGAACAGGGCAGCTGGCTGGGAGGGAGTGCATTCCCCTGCTAGCAGAAAAAAAGGACATATAAGATAAAATGCTTAAGAGATAAAGTGCTTCATGGAGGAGAGGTGAGGAGGCTTCAAGAACGGCCATTAATCCATAGCCACTTGTCAACAGTGGTTTATTTAAACATGTGTTAGACATTTATAATCTAAAAAAATCTGTCTCGAGGTACTTGGGATTTTTCTTTTAAAACAGATTTCTCTCTAGGGGCAAAAAAATGTTCTTTTAAACTTAGAAGTCTGATGGATCTTTTCAACGCTCTTCTGACAAGCTAGAATGAACGTTCTAGACTTGAATTTCGCGTAATTTTGTCTAATATGACTTCCTGTTTGTGGACAAGAAATTTAAAAGACTCCTAAAGAACATTGTCAACTGTTCTTTAAATATTTGGGTGGATTAAGTATAAACTGGTTAAAAACATATGGGCTATTTTTCTTAGTTTAAAAGAAATGTTTTTAAAAGTAAGATGAGTGCTTCTTGGCAAGCTGTTACTAATTTTTGTCAAAAAATATTTTAAAAGTAACTGTTACTATTAAAATAATATTCCCAATGTATCTAGATTTGCCTTACTTTTTACTTACTCCCTGTAGCTTAACTGGTATTACGCAAACTGCCACAAATCTATTTTAAGGTCATGTACTTTATTAGGAACAGGAATAGGAATTTGACTGGAAGAATTTATACTTAGGGAAGATTTTTTTCTATTACTTTAAAATTACATTCCTAAGAATTGCTCTGGGCAGAATTTTTCTTATGCAAACCCATGTGTTAACACTTTGCAGGCCTTTTCATGAATTGGTTTCATATCACATCTAAATGCAACTAATAAAAACAAATACAGGCAGACTTTTGCTATGACGTCTCCTGCAGGCTGAGCCCAGGGCCTCGTGTATGCTAAGCATTTGCTTTAATGGAAAACACACTTGCTGCCCTAGCAGAATTTTAACAAGCAAGGCTGTATCTGTCCATATGCATAAATTTAAAGTGCAAGCCACAGAACATTGTATATAAGTAAGATTAGTTAACATAGGTTTATTACTAAATTCATATAGTTTTCATATTACAGATATGTTAACTAAGTTTGATTAGCATTGGTGGCTTTAACCTCATGTAACCTGATATGGTGGTTTGAAAGAAAATGGCCCACAAAAGGAATGACACTATGAGGAGATGTGACCATGTTGGAGTAGGTGTAGTCTTGTTGGAGGAGTGTATCACTGTGGAGGTGTGCTTTGAGATCTCATAGATGCTCAAGCTATGCCCAGTAAGACAGTCCATTTCCTGTTGCCTACAAGTCAGGATGTAGGGCACTCAGTTACTTCTCCAGTTCCAAGTCTACCTGCATGCCATCCTGTCATGCCATGATAATGGACTAAACCTCTGAAAACATAAGCCACCCCAAATGAATGTTTTTCCTTTATAAGAGTTGCTGTGGTCATGGTGTCTCTTCACAGCAACAGAAACCCTAACTAAGACACCTGGTAAACTGTAGAACAATTTGACCTTGGCCTCCAGGAAGCTAGATAGGCTCAGTCATACCACCCTTTTGCTCATACAAAGCAAGTAGAATCTTACATCATCCCTCTAGGGATGTGTAAGTATAAGCTATTGTTTGAGACAATCAATTAATTCCTAGATGAGTTTTTATGGAAAGAAAACAATAATGGTGCTGTGCCTTACTGTATAACAGTAAATAGCAACTTCTGCAGTTATCAATCAGGAGGAGGAAGGACCTTGCTGAGAATTGAAGCCAAGATCTTTTGTGCTCTAGGCAAGAACCCTGAGCTGCATTCTTGTTCTTGAACTAAACTATATTTCCTTTCCTAACCCATACCTAGCTTTCTAACAACCACCACACACAAAAGAGCTACATTTACCTTTTCTCATTTTATTTACCAAGGTAAAATGGCTCACAGTACATCATATAACCAAAAAAAGTGTAATAATAAGAGGTCATTAATCTTCACCCTGCATAAGAAGCTCAAATAGAAACCCTGGAGTGCTATTAGTTTTGAAAAACCTACTGAATATATCTTTCTAATTTAATGTACTATTGTCATCTTTCTAATTAACCAGAGACTGCAGAAGGTGGATCTTAGGTACATGTTAGAGGACAGAGCTGAGAGCTTCTGTTATCCAAGTGAAAGCCACAGAGGCTTCTACATCTAACGAGTTCATATATGCTATGTCACAAGTCAAATCAACACATGCACACACACATAGACACACAAATGTGTGCATAGATGTATATGTGTATACACAATTGATACGTATAAACACACTTCAAAATCTGCTGAGTTTCACCTCAGAATGCACTGTCACTGGCATGTCTCTACTTTTGAGTATTATACTATCTTTCAGTTATGTCATTTTCAGTCCAGCATTGACACAACAAGGTTCTGATACTCACTTTATGGTGTGAATTTGACCCTCTTTACTTTTCTAAGTTGTAGACTTTATGGAGCTCTGCTTGCAAGGCATCTTGACTTCATTGTTATTGGTATGGTAATCCCAAAGAGTTTAAATGCTCCTTGACTGTCATAAACAAGTAAACTCAATGTTAGTCTAAGTTACGCGGTTTCTTCATACTAAAAGTCTGGCAATGTGTGAGGCTGAGCTGCTGAACTTCACTCTCCCCTTTGTTTCATTGTCCGTTACAGGAACATCCATCACTAGGCCAACTTTCTGAAAAGTTAATAGACAACAACATAAATGTCATTTTTGCAGTTCAAGGAAAGCAGTTTCATTGGTACAAGGTAAGTTCACGCCTGCAACATCAATGTTAAAATGCTTGGATTGGTGGTTAAAGTGAGGCAGTTTCCAGAAGCAGGGGTGGGCATTCTGGAATTCTGATAGACTGTGTCGATATAAAAGTGTCTCAAGGTGAACTTTATAGTATCTTACGTTAGTATTTAGATGCAAATTCTGTCTGAGTCTGTGACATTCTAGGGCCATGGCATGTGGGCATTGAAAGCTGTGTGAAAACCATATTCAATATACAATTACTAAGCTGGTACTGAATGTAACAACAATGGGAAATTTCCATCTACATGAGAAGTACATCATACTCCAACTGTGTCCCCTTCATGTCTGAAATCCTGCTTGTACATGAACAAGTCCTGCTTGTTCATGGCCATGTCCTTAAAACAGGCTAAAACTGGAAAACAGTGGTTGTCTGCTCTTATTAATTTTTTGGAGAACTTCATGCATAATCACTGTATTTGTATCATTTCCACCCTTCCCTTTAATTCTCTCTTCAATTCCTCACATGCCCCCAAATCCTATTCAAATTCATAATGTTATCTTATTATTGCTAAATGTATACACATACATATGGAATATGAATATATGCATCAATACAGAATATATACCCTGATGTTTTAGTGTTGCTCTTACATACATGTATTCAGGTCCGACTTGGGATTAGATAATTTACTAAGACCTGTCAAGGGACTCATCCCTGGAGAAAAGTGATGCTCCCTCTTTCTGTAGCCTTTGATTACCTGTAGCTTGTCATCTAAGGGTGGGGAGCCTCGTAAACATGCTTCCATCCATGTTGGTATGCTGACTGGTATCATCATTATGCAGGTCTTGTTGAGATTTCATAGATGAAGCTTCACAGTTGTATCTAGAAGACATCTGAAGCAGGCATCCTTGCCCTCCTTCCTTACAATTGTTCTGCCCCTGCTTCCATGATTTTACAGGAGCCTTGGGTGTAGGAATCATAGTGTAGATGCACTGTTTGTTTAACAGCACCAGCACACCTAGCCTTGGTCTAGATCGTGAAGCAAAGGACCAAGAGACGCCATGGAAGTGGCTAAGCCAGCCAATACCTTGTGCATAAAAGAAATATCTCTGTGGTTCCCAGGCCCTTTGGTATAAGCAAAGGACATGTTATGCAGCAACACCAATCTGGAGGTGCCGCATAGCTCACAATAAAAAGTGTGCTGTCCCTTTAGCACTGCTTTCTTTCACAAGCTTCTCCATGTGTCTCTTCCAAGATGCTCTGTTACTTGTTTCCATGAGATCATGATACCACAATTGTCCTCTATTCACTCAGCCTTCATCTCCTTTATGACTTTTTGCTACTTCATCCTACTCTGTTTTAAACTTCTTGCAGGTGCCCATCCGCTCTACCATTATTTATTTATTTGTTCATTTATATTTGTGTAAAACCCTTTGAGCAGCCACATTTTTCTGACTTCATTAAAAAATTGCTGAAACTCAATTTCATCTTCCACAAAGCTCGTGTTTACCTCATACCTGACGACAGAATTGTCATCTGAAAATTGGACTTTAAGTGTATCACTGTTTGAAATTTATGATGAAACTTATATTCCTTGGTTCCCCATATATCAAGGAATCATCTTTTAACATAAACAAATTGACATTCACTTGAGTTAGTTCTGGCCCAAACCGAATGGTGCAAACTGCAGGGATAATGGCACAAACAGTTTCTGTTTGCCGAGTACCTACCAACTTTCAGACGCTGAGCATAGAAACAGCAATTCTTCCAGTCCTCTTAGCTACACGGAACAAGGGCAGTATTGTGAACATGCTCATTTTAAGATGAGCAAACATTTAGAGTGGTTACAAGTTTGTCTGGTTTTCTGATGACTCAAATCCCTGGCTCTTAACCTTAAAGGTTAACAGCTGACCTTTAAATTCCTTGCAGCTTTCGGTGTCTTTTGCCTCCTGCTTCTCTACTGCTTATTGTTTCTTCGTGTGTGTATCGTTTTCTCCCTCCCTTTGTAAATCTGCCATTGACTGATAAAATACAAAATCGGGTTTATTATTAATTGAATTGTGTGCAAAGCCAGAATCATTGGGCTGACAAGTTCTGCTCAGTGCCAGGTACCCCTACCGTCAGCAACTCTGACAGGTGTCATTTTATAAATCGTGTTTCTCTGGGTGAGAATGGCGCTGGGAGCTATCTCATAGGACACAGGAAACCTTGTGTCCTCTGTCCATCTCTCCAGCCTCGTTCCCTAGACTGTTTCCTGCCTTGCACTAGTCCTTCCTCCTCTGCTTCCAATTGTTTGTGCACATACACTCATCAGGCTGTCCCTTTCCTGGGTGGCCTGGTTCTTACTCTGCTCCCACCCCAAAGAAGCCATTATCCATCATTAAGTGCTTAGCTCTCACGTATCCTTTGAACGAACTCTTATGTCACTTTCTTAGGGAAATAGTCCATGACAGTGTTCCCCAGAGTGAAATCTTTGCAGGTGTCCCTCCTCACAGCACCTAGGCATTGTGTCGTGTGTATGGTACTTTGTGAAATTGCTCCTTAAGAATTGAAACTAGCCAGGCGTTGGTGACACAGGTCTTTAATCCTAGCACTCAGGAAGCAGAGGCAGAGGCAGGCGGATCTCTGTGAGTTCCAGGCCAGCCTGATCTACAAGAGCTTGTTCTGGGACAGCCTCCAAAGCTACACAGAGAAACCCTCTCTCGAAGAACAAACAAAAAAAAAAAAAAAGAAGAAAAGAAAAAGAATTGAAACTATCTCAGAAACAATTTATGATAGTGTTCAGTGAGAGTTAGACACAGTAACTTTAAAATCAATCAGTGGTATATTTATACATTTCCAATACATCCTGTCCAAGTCTGGTTAGCACACATAAGAACTTGGTGATGATTATAAGAAGAAAAATGAATGAGAAATGTGAAATATGATGCCCTCATCACTCCCCACTCTGGTCAGATGAACTTCCTCTCAGGTAGACCTTGAAGTCACTGCTCATTCTAAAGTTCTCTCAAGAGACACCCAGAATCTTACTCATCAGCTCCATGAAGCTCACACCTTAACTATAACCTTCCATCCGGTCCAGCATGTCCCAAACTATCATTCCATAGAATAGTATTTATATTAAACATGTAACTGTGTCCCAAGGGAACACAGTTGTTAGTAACTAAAGGAGAATTAGGAATGCCAATTATAAATACTAAAGTATTTGCAAAGTGCAGGCCCTTTCTGAATAATTTGTAAGTGTACATTTTGAATCTTTAAGTGGAGAAAATAACCATAGAACTTTATCAACTTATTTGCCCCCATAACTCTTTTCATTTTAAAAAGATAGTATAGGAAATGCTGAGCTAACTTTAATTAGATATGAGGTCATGTAACTCAGGATACGTGCACATACTCATTTACACACAAGATGACACACGCTGATGCTTCTAGGTTCTCTCCATGGGCAACTCTCTTAGCTTGCTTGTGGTTTCTGTCAGTTTTTTTTCGTTCATACAATGGCTTGCCCTCCAGATAGCTACAAAATGTTTAATTTTTTGGTTATTCACTATTGACAAGATACTATCGTATTATGCACCTGTGACTCACATGTCTTTACAGGACCTTCTACCCCTATTGCCTGGTGCCATTGCTGGTGAGATAGAATCCAAAGCTGCAAATCTCAACAATTTAGTAGTAGAAGCCTACAAGGTATGTATGTACAGTCTACACAATTTTCTCCAAGTCAACTTTTTTGTGGCAAGGTACAAAGCAATACTGTTGCATCTTGCAGGGGGTAACAGAAAATATGCAGTACTGGGAATTTAGAGCTGGGGTTACTCCTGGATGGACCACAAACCAGCAATAGTATTTGATGCTTGGAAGCCAATTCTTTCCTATGTGCCTCACTTGACCCATGGACAGGTGAACCAAGATTGGGTCAGCCATCCAAGTTTCCTTCCAAATTGAAAATTCAGTGAGTCATCAGCTTGTCACAAAAAAAATTGGATAGTTTCCCACGTCATAAATCTAATGACAAAACAAAAGAAAAACCACCATGTTGTTATTTAAAGAATAATGTACAGCAGTAAATGGTATCTCTAGGATATAGAGATTACTAAGAGGGCTTTGTAAGGATCTCCATGATCAGTCATTATAGTGTTCAGTCAAATATCATGTTTATCAATACATGCCAAAGTTTCCTGTCCCAGTTGTCCTCTTGGATCACTGGTTGTATGTTGTCATCAGTCCATTAAAGAATAGATGCATGCAGTTTTAAGGGAACATCTGGCTTCTCAAACTGATCATTCCTGCATTAAAAATCTCCATTAAAAATATACTAATATATACTAATGCTGACTTTTCATATCTGTCACTTTTTATATATAACTTTACTTAATCTGCACACTTGACCTATCAGGCAGCAACTAGTAGTCCCATTTGTATATTCGTGGGAACAAAGAAGTAAGCAGAGTAACCATATTTCACACAGCCAATCAGCAGAGTCATCAGGATGAAATTCCAGGTGTTATGCTATGCTTCAGCTGCTTCCAGCTGGGTGATATGGCCTGTCTTTCTTTCTTTGATTTTTTTTAAAACAGGGTGTCAAAAACTATGCTTTATTCTTCCATGGATTTATGGGCCAGTTATAAAGTCTCACTTCTCCAGATTTTCTGGCTGCCTACTTGCCTGACATGTAGAATTAGAGTGTTGAGAGAGCCAGCCGCAGAGCCGTGAAAAACCTCAGGCTGCTTTGTTAATTGTCTTCAGGCAGCACCTGTTTGCAGCTTGGGTTCAAAGCAGAGAGGCAGGGAGCAGGCACAGGACAGAAAAATGAAGAAACTGTTTAAGTATATTCTTCTTTAAAGAAAATCTTGCTAGGTGTTTTTTTTTTTGCAGAGGATTCTTTTTTCAATGTGTTAAAACTGCATAGATTGAAATAAACATGGATACCTTGATATACATCTCTCACTATCATTTAAAAAACGTTAGATTCTAGGGCTGAAGAGATGACTTTGTGGTTAAGAACACTTGATGCTTTTCCGAAGGATGGAAGTTCAGTTTCCAGCACCCAAGTGGTGGCTCAGAACAATTTCTAACTACATTCTAGGAGATCCATCATTGCCCCTTTCTGACCTCTATCAACACTGCACATACTTACATACATGCAGGCAAAACATCCATACACATTTTAAAAACAATGTTAGACCCATGGAATTTTGTATCAAGAAAAAGCAAAGCAAAACATATCCATACTTCATTCCTATCAGTAGTTTTTGTTCTTAAGAGTCATCCAAATGAAAAGGGAATTTATGCAATTAGTCCTTTCAATTACTACAGTGTGCCTCCATTATATTATTCCAAAGTATATAAATTGGTTTCTTTCCTATTTCTCTGTTGGGTAGCCCAGTACAACCTTGAACTTCAGATCCTACTGCATTAGCCTCCTCCTGAGTCCCAAGATTATAAACACATACCACCACATCTAACTTTTTTAAACCTTTGTGTCAGACTTTGGAAGCTAGGAGTGAAACATTGTCTCCAACAGTAAATACAGACAGCACTGTTTGACCGTACATTCTTGTGCAGATGTGTGATTACCATAGCCCACTGTGGTTCTGTATAACCTTGCAGTGGAAGAATATCAATGAACTCAATGAAAACGTTGACCCAGCTAATCTCCTTAAGATTCTATTTTTTATATGTGTATGTTTTCAAAGTTCTTTTAGAATTTTATTTGTTTTCAGAGCCCAAAGGAAGCAATTCACAATTCATTGGAATATACATCAGGAAAAAAATAGTCTCTCTCCCAACATCTCTTACATATGAAATAGCATCTGTCCTAACAGCTTTTAGACAGGAATGATGACGTTTATCATTTTGTCAGAACCTTGATTTCCAAAAGCACAAGAATGGAAAATATTGTAGAATTTTTGTCTTCACCCAATACTTCAAAGACATTGGCCCAAGTGGTTTGAGATCTTAGAGGAACAGCAAGCATGGCAGGCTGAGCATGTTAATATGGAAGGCATGTCCTGACCTGACAATCAACACATTATTTTACACCATTGAAAGTTTCTCCTAGTTTGCCTCAAGGCTATTAAAATGCTATTAAAATGATTGTATGAATTTACAGGGATGTAATATAAATTATCATTGCTAAGGCTAAGCATGGGGGTGAGAAAAGATGGTACTAAAAAAGAAAGTTTCTCCTAGTTTTTCAGAATTATTGATATTGCAGTGTATGAGCTCTTGGAGAGAGAAAACTGTGCGTGTGTGTGTGTGTGTGTGTGTGTGTGTGTGTGTGTGTGTGTGAAGTAGTCTTGTCTACACAGACAATATTCATGAACTTGAAGAAAGCATCATTTTTAGAGGGCTTGCTATCAGAATTCCAAGATCAATTTCTCATCAATGCATGTCTATATCCTTATCAAGATACTGTTGAAGAAGTAAAATTACTTAACTAAAGAAGTAGAAGCCACTGGAAGTTTTTCATCCACATGGTGCTAGAACCCATTCTCCTTACACATGGCATACTTCACATTTCTGTATGTTTGTTTATAAACACAAATTCAGGATTTTTGCATGTGCCAGGCTTGAATTTATGTGACCAAATGCATGTACATCTAAAGAATATATTTAAAGTAGCTGTATCCTTTGGAATTGAAAGATTGTGATGGAAGAAGGTTGTGTGTGCCCACTACATGACATCATAGAGTAGATGTTTACTGAATGAGCCTATGAATAACAGTGTAAATACATGCATGGTTTTGTACCCCGTAAGAATTCCTGCTTTAGAATTAAGCTTAGAAAAACATTACGGATGCAGGCAAGCATGGAAACTTGAAAAAAATAAAAACCTTAAGCCCTTCTTAGAGAACTTTGTAGGACAGTGTTTGCCTAGGGATTCCTGTGCATAGCCACAGTTTAGAAATGCTACCCCCACAAAACTATATGTTTCAAGTTTATATTTATAAAATACTAGCTTCTCATGATGGTCAAAAGCATCTGAAATTCATGTTTCTTTTTTTGTCAAAACCATGTTCCCTGCTTTAAATCGTCAAAGTTCACTTGCTTTGAGATGTTTCTTTAAATTTCATCATTAAATATCAGCAGTATGATTTTTTAAAATTATCATTTCAACACTTGGTAAGAGAGATATTTCTGTAAGTGATTAAAATGTGTCATCATGGACGTGTGGAAAATCAAGCCATTTAAACACAGCTGATCATTCAGTACTTCTTACACGTATTAATATAACTGGGTTGTTAGGAGGAAGTAGAATTTATTCATTATTTTCCAGATATACGCTTTGATTAGGTTAAATATTAAATCTAGAATGACATAATGTGCATGAGTCTGCTTTATTGATTATACTAGGAACGACAGCACTATGTAATTAAAAACCAATGTTTCTTCAGAAACTCGTTTCAGAAGTAAAAGTGCAGGTGGAAAACCAGGTACATGGCATCTATTTTAACATCACTGCAATCTGTCCAGATGGGGCCAGAAAACCAGGTGCAACTGGATGTGGAAATGTGACAAGCAATGATGAGGTACGTGGTGGTGTGCTTTTTATTGTTTAACAAAAATCATTTGGTTTGCTTTCTCATGAAAAAAAAACTCAAACCACTACAAGAAACATTTACTACTAACTACAAGAGTCTTGTTTCAACTTTAAAGCCTTGTTGTCTCTTCTCAAAGTTTCTTCTTAATTGCCTATTCTCTCAAATTTTCAAATTAACATAAATATGTATTGTTTTAGGCACTTATTAAAATTTAGTAGTAAGATATTTTGTGTCACAATTGGTCTAATGAGGAAATCACATCATTTAGAGCAGTATCTATAATTATACTAGTGACAAAGTGTTTTTAATTTCAGATCTTTTCAGAGTATGAAATAGAATGTAGCCACAGGAAGTATGCGACAGTTGATGAAAGCTAAGAATTCCAAAATCTTTCACTTTGTGATGTCCTCAAGAAGGAAATAAAGAAATTTGTAAAAGTATTCAAATCAGAGGGATGGCACCATTTATATTATATAATAACTAGAAAGGGTTGGGATGCCAAGAGGAGAACTCCAAGTTTCAGAATTATCAGGAGACAGGACCAGATGAGAAAGTGATTCTCCAAGAACTGCCACACTTCTGTGAAGTGTGCTCTCAGCAGGGTCCTAGGGCAGGGGAGGTGAGGTTCACTCCCAAACATCACTTACTTCAATTGTACTTGAATGACATGGGTAAGACATTTTCAAATCTTTCTTCCTTCTGAGTCTAAGGTTCTGCAATTTTATTTTTTTTAATTCTATCCTGTGTTGGGAAGGAGTTTTCAAAGTCCTAAAGTTCTAAGATTAAGTCAAAGAGAACACTTTGTCCTCCTTGGTTAGAATAAATTTTTCCTCGTGGGAACATTGTAAGCTGTGGGTGTGTGATTGTGCCCACAAACCGTGTATCTTTAATTAATTATTACAAGCTTCTAATTCTGTAGTTTCCTCTATAATTATTCCTTGGATATTGTTCAAAAGACATCATATACTAGTTTATATAATACACACTTGATTTATGCTATAGAAAAGTTTTGTGGCAATCTAATACGAAGCTAACTGCTGAAAAACAAAGTCTTTCAAGACTCAAATTTATAGCAATGATTTACTTTCTTTCTTACATGTTTTTCTTTCTTTGACTATATCCCCTTCAGCTAAATAGTATAAACACTTTGACTCCTGGGAGCAGTTTTCTTTTACTAGTCATAATAGCAGTGACCACATCATTCTACACATCTGTGAATCCTTAAAATTCTTAGAGGTACAAACAATTTGAGTACAAACCAACACCAACTGCACTGATTTTTGATGTGAAAAATACAACTCAAATGTCCTGCACATGAAAGCCTAAGTGTAGGTCTTTTATTTCACGCTACATAATTTCCAATTGAGAAGCCAAGAATATGTTATTTTCAAAGTTGGAATTTAATTAATGTAATACATATATATAATCTGTGTGCATGAACTTTTTGATTTGCCAGAGCACCTGAAGATGGAGTCAGAAAATATAGATATTAAATCAATCATGTTATGGAAAAACAGGGAATTAGAGAACAAGAGAAAAAACTGTCAGGAAAATAAACTTAGTTCTAGGAGGAATAAAAGAACTAATTATTAATTCTCACCTGTACATTTTTTAGTTCTGGAATGACTTCTCTAGAAGTCTAAGGGGGCAGCACAAACACTTGAGGACAAATAGACACATCGTGATTTACAGGCCATTAGCAACTGTTGCTTCCTTTAATTCTAATTAATCAGTTAGGTAAAAAAAAATGGAATTAAAAGGGGGTTCTTCACCTACATATGAAAGAGATTCATGGTGATTTGTAAATATTGTGTCTCTAAGATGCTCACTCTTGATTCAAATAATATTACCAAATCTGGAATTGTCAGCATCCAAAGATTTAAACATATTTCCTTTTTCCATTGAAACTTAGGTTCTTTTCAATGTAACAGTTGTGATGAAAGCATGTGATGCCACAAGAGGAAAAAACTATGCAATAATCAAACCTATTGGTTTCAATGAAACCACGAAAGTCCACATACGCAGAAGCTGCAACTGCCAGTGTGAGGACCGCAGAGGGCACAAAGGACAGTGTGCAGAAGCAGCCCTGGATCCCAAGTGTCCCCAGTGCGATGACAGCGAATGTCTTTTTGACGAAGACCAGTTTCCTTCTGAAACTTGCAAGTTGCAGGAGGATCAACCTGTCTGTAGTGGCCGAGGAGTTTGTATCTGTGGAAAATGTTTATGTCACAAAACCAAGCTTGGGAGTGTATACGGCAGATACTGTGAGAAGGATGACTTTTCTTGTCCATATCACCATGGAAATGTGTGTGCTGGTGAGTTGATACGCACAGGCGCTTTGAGTCAATCACAACTATATTGGCATATACATTGTGTGTCTTTGAATCTGATGTGATGAAATGCTGCCACTCAAGCCAAATAAAAGTTCAAAACCTCACAGTCTATGAAATTACATCATGGCAAGATCATGCTTGTAATTTTAGCTTGAGTACAGCTACTATTTTTTAAATCAAAACCTGAAATTAAATACGAATCTCATGTATCCCTTGATCTTGGAAAGATTTACACCAGAAAGGAAGTTACTGGTGATGGCTGACACGTTTCCTAGAAGAATGGGGGGTATTCTTTTATACGGGTCTGACTCATTCCGACAAGTGGTCCCCTCCTGCTTGCTCAGAGGATTTATTTCTGTCAGGATGAGGGGAAGTGAGCTATAAAAATATAATTCCACTCACTGCAAAATTCTTAAAGCATCATTGTATATGGTATTGTAAGTTTGCAGTCATTCAAACCTCGACGGCTTATTTTTGGAAAACCACCAGCAACAGAATGGACAAAAGACAGCATTCTTCAGAAAGTACTGGATTGCTAAGTAATCCAGAATATTCCCTCTGGCCACACACAGACCAGATTTTGCAATGAAATAGGATAAGATAAAAAAAAAAATATCAAGATTGCTTTTTGGCTAATTCAATTCACTGCCACCTACTGGTTAAAGTCCAGAAAAAAAAAACCTATGCAGCATTTGAAAGTTAAAACAAAATATTGTTTTAAAATAAACTACCTGTCATTTGAATTTCTTGACTGCTTCTCTGTGAAAAGGTAAGTTTGCTTATTATAAAGATCCTTTTTATGTGCATGTTAGTAAGGAAATATGAATTAAATTATTGGAAAATCAAAACCTATAAAATTTAACTCTCTATTCTTATATAGGCAGAAACCTTGTTGTAAGTTACAGAAAAAACATTATTATACAGTCTTTTTATTCTATTATATACACAGAATGCTCTGTGCTCTATACATTTATTCAGCTGTCACTAGAACAGTGGTAGGAAGGAAGATGACTTCAGAATAAACTAGCAGTTGTCTATTATATTTTATAGGAGAAAGAAATGTTTTACAGGGAAGACGAGAATGAAATTTCTAGCATCCGTCAATAGAACTGACGCTCAAAACAGTTTCCTATTCAACAGGAATCTGAAGTTCCGCTGTATAATCTCAAAAAGTCAATGTATTGCCCCTGTCTATATTGTGACCATATACCTCACACACACAACAGCAGCAACTGAAAATATGCTTTGAATTGCTTGTGTGAGTGTAAGCTTCAAAGCTGACATGCATTTTCCCTACCACTTCCCCTTGGGAATAAAAGCTCATGTTCACAGGTCAACTGGCTACGAATCAGCATGCTAGCTACATCAGGGAATGGGGCATTTGTTTGCCTGGGCCTCATTTTTTTTTACACTTAGCAAACTGAACTGATCCAGCAGCAGGCTCCATGGAACAATTTACCTGTAAGAAAAGGAAGAGAGAGAGAGACGAGAAAGGAAGGGAGGAGGGAAGGACAGAGGGAAGAAAAAAGAGAGGGAGTACAAGGAGATAAAGAGGGTAAAAGGAGGGGAGGCAAAGGAAGGGTGTTAGATTTATAGTCAAGTAAGCTTGGGAAATACCACATAAAACATGAAATGTACCTCTTCTTTTGAGATGTCTATTGCACATTGGCATATTAAATTTTGGACACTTTCTGTAGTCTAAAATCCATTTAATATTGTGTAATCAAGATTTTCTCAAGTTAATTGTCTGCATAAATGCCCCCCACATACACACACACACACACATTTCAGCTTCTCAGGAGACCTACCTTTACCCACACCTGAATACACTAGCATAGACACCCTGTCATTCTGCAAAGCTTTCCTGGGAGCCTAGCAACAGTCACAAGGGTAGACTTGTGGAATCCATTGACCCAATAGTGACTTGATGATTTCAAGTCAGTCTTTATGGCTTCATTATATTTATGTGCCTTTAATTAAAAACTTGAAGGCATAATGGCCTTCAAGAAGTTGGGCAGCCACCAAAGTAGGGGGCTTTCTTCACACATGTTAGCATAATATATTGGTAGGGGGAAATTATCTAATAGAACAGCTTTTAAAACAGACACTCCTAAATCTTGGCACTGCTTTGTTAAAACAAGTAGAAAACTGATGCTGTCTCCATTCATCAGACTGTTACATGTTCCCATGGAAAAATGGAAGAGACCTTACGAAGTTAGTGGGCCTGGTGACCATGATTCTGGTGTGTCTTTGTTGCAGGCCATGGGGAATGTGAAGGTGGCAAATGCCAGTGCTTTGCTGGCTGGGAAGGAGATCGGTGCCAGTGTTCCTCAGCCTTAGCACAGCACTGTGTCAATTCCAAGGGCCAAGTTTGCAGCGGAAGAGGCACCTGTGTGTGTGGCAGGTGTGAGTGCACCGACCCCAGGAGCATTGGCCGTCTCTGTGAGCACTGCCCAACCTGCCATCTGTCCTGCAGTGAAAACTGGTATGATTCCATCTACTACATGAACAAGGCAATCCTTGCTGAAAGGTGTTTTTGTTCTTTATTCTGCCCTCTTTAGTCGCTGTATCCTTAGTTGCCATTATACAAAAAAAGATGATAATAAACAAACAAACAAAAAACCTAAGTGGTAAATTTTAAGAATTGGGATACTGAAATTCCCATCTTTGGCTAGTAAGTTGCTTTGGAAAACTTAGAACAAATCTACATAAAGTCACTACTTTTTGTTTTTTTCAAAAATAATTTTCTGAAAATAGATACTGCCAGCTAACCTACTGATTGCTCTTTAGCTGTGTGATGTACAGTAAGTTGTTAAAACTCTCTGTGCCTCTGGTTAAAAGTAAGACTAATAACAATAGATTTGTGAAAGAACTAAAGTTGCTATGAAGTACTGGGGATGCATAAGTGGAAAGCCCTGTGTTATGACAATGACATTATTTTGTGCTAAAAATAATTTCCGATAGGAATCTGAGACCTGCTCAAGGAAACCCTGTGTGAACGTCACTATACCTCCAGTTGGCTTACGTTTTTAATACATGTAATTTCTCAGATCAGTAATGTAAATAATAATTTTAGAAATATATACATAGTAATATATTTAAATCATTTAGAAATACAATGTTTTAATGTATTGGTGTCGATTTATTTGCTACTAGAGATTGAATAAAGGCCTCACACATGTTGAGCCAGTACTCTTACAAAGCAACATATCCTACTTTTATTTTTAACTTTTGAGACAGTGTTCACCCTGGTTGGCCTTGAATTTATATAGTAGCTCAGGAATCCTTAGAATATATATTCTTCCTGCCTCGGCCTGACATGCAGCTGGGATTACTGGCTTGGACCACCAGGCCTTGTGAATGAGATTGGTTCCTAGTGGACCTAATCAGAATTTGTTCATTGGTTGCTGTTTTGTTATTTTATTTTCACAGGAACTGTGTGCAGTGCCTTCACCCTCACAATCTGTCTCAGGCTGTACTCCATCAGTGTAAGACCTCCTGTGCTGTCGTGGAGCAGCATCGTGTGGACCAGGCATCAGGTAAGTGTGTGCAGGCTTCGGGGGCTGAAGGGCCTACCAAGTACCCCTTACTTCCTGAAGGAAGGAGCAGTGGCTTCATACTGACTCCATTATAACCATTTTTTTAAATGACTTTTATCACTATGCCACAGATCACAGATATAAAAAAAAATTGTACAATTATTGAATTGAGTTGGTGATCCATTTTTTAATTTCCCAGAGATGGAATACCTAAAGTGGTCAGAATTCCTTTCTTATACTCACAGCTCTATTTCTGTGCCACCTACCTCCACCAAGGAGCATGAAAATTGATTATCTAGTCAAAATATAGGTTCCCTATGTAGAATAATTTCTCTAAGAAGTCAGGAGCCATGGTTTTTTTTCATAACCTAATTTGCCACTGACCCTCCTCATGTCTATCAAAACTTTATTTTCCTGTTTCAGGTGACACCCTAAAATTTTAAGTGATCATCTGCTGTTGCATTATACCTGACTTCCAAAGGTTATGAGGCTGGGCGTGTAGTTCTGTGGGTAGAGCACTTGCATGGCATGGACAAAATCCTGTGTTCAACTTAGTACCACATATAATTAGGCCTCTCTGGTACATAACAGAACTGGGAAGGTAGTGCGTGGAGGATCATAACTTTAAGGTCAGCCTCAGATACATAGGGGATTCAAGACCAACCTGAGCCATGAGAGACCCTGCCTATTAAATTAAAAAAAAAGAAAGAAAGAAAAATGAAAAGGATATAACTTCAAGGTGAATGATTTTAAATTTGACAAAATGGAAAGAATGTGTTAGTTTTAGGCTCAAGACCTTGGCCTGAAGCTTAGTAAGTTAAGAAACATCAGTCTATCTCCACGAAACTTCCCTGAGGATAAAACAGAGGATAAGAACTACATTGAAAGTTTATATGACAGCAAATGAGCCAATGAGCATAAAAGCAGTACCTCAAGTCAAAGGTAGTGTATAAATGGAAAAGAAGTGAGAGCTTCATTCAAAAACTACTTTTAAACCAGTTTATTAGGGTACTCTCCGCACCAAGAGAACCCAAAGCCCACTTTGCACAGGTCTAAGGTGTAGAAAAATCCATGAAATAGAAGCTATCTTGCAGTCAGATCTTTAGAAACATACCTATTGCGTCTACTATTTCAACAAATAGAAAAACCAGCCTTCAGAGGAACAGCAGAGTAGAAATATCCTGCACATCCTAGCTTCCCATATTTCATTCCCATCCATGCTGATCTTAGCCCACAGTGAATTTGGCTCAGAAAAGAGTCCCATGTGCTGCCAGCTGAGGCTGCAGAAATCTCTGCAGAAAGCCAAGTGCCTTCTAATAAAGTAGGGCCCTACATGTCATTAATTATGTTAAGTAAACACTACTCTGACTTAAGTGTTGTTGCAAACAGTATTCCCTTAAAGCTCCTTAGAAAAAGGCCCTGCCTGACCTCAGCTAAGAAAAGCATGACCAGAGCCAAATGTTGGACCATCCATAACAATGTGGGGAAAATGCATGCAGACTTCAACCCTCAAAGGGTCCTCTGGCTAACACATTAGTAATATTTCTGAAATGTATCAGTAGCTACAGGGCTTCCCCTCCCCTTGACAGCTATTGTGCAAGGAGAGGAAAGGGGCGTTTGTTAGGCACCTCAATTATCAGTCCACTCAATGACACTTACAGGGTCTTCTTTCAGGCTCTCTGGCTAAGCTCCCACTAGGCAAAAAGCCAGGAGTGGGATCAAGCCGCTTGCCCCTCTGAGGAGCAGTTTAGCAGACAGAGTAGACTAAGTCAGCCAAGGGACATCAGTCTGTCAGTACATAAACCATGTAGGTCATTAACCTGAAGAGAGCTGTAGAAGATCAAATAGCACCACCTTTGGACACACATTTTGTATTGTATCCCCATGACATCTCTAATAAGGAAGCATTGCACTACACTGGCATCTGCTGTTTCCATTCCAATAAGTAGGAATGGGTGTGCCTTTGACCTCCTCAAGGTTTTTTGTCACTAATCACAGAAATGGTCTCTATTAAGTCAACCTAGTTGGAAGAGACACCTTTGTCTCCATTACTGAAATCTTGCTTTGTTCAAGGGGCATCATACTGGGTTATTATTGGACATGCAGGCCAGAAGCGGCCATACCTGAATGCTACTCTGCTCACAGCCTTGGCAGTCCTCTCCCTAGAGACATTTTCGGAGGCAACTGCTTCATTCAGACAAGGTCCCTGAAGCCTGCTGAGTGGGGGTGGAGAAACACATGCTTCAATCCAGGAAGTGATTTTATGAATCTAGGGCAGCTTGTGAGCTCTGTGGAATACCCACTATTGTGCAACCATGTTCCTCAGAGATTAAAGTGGACTTTGGGCAAGCATAGAGCCTGCAAATTTTCCAGTGAGAGTTTGCCAGAGATCTGATGCTAAAACAAAGGTCTAGCATGCTCGCTCTCCTAACACAGCTTTTCTTTCTTCAATTAGTGATTATTTGTTCTTGGGGGAACACATGGTGAATCTGTGCAGGCAAACAAACTAGATTAGCAAAATTAATTGATTAAAAAGTGAGACAAGATATTTGGGTATTGTCCAAGATCCGACACTCCTACTTCTCGGAGTCATGATGTGTAATAATAATGAAATCTTACACCAGGGTTTAGAGGAAATATTCATTTTCCTATTAGAGTGGTATTGAGTTTAGCTTCTGCAGATGTTTACTTTATTTTCCATTACTGCTGAACAACAAAGTAGGAGAAAGCATAAAAAGAGAAACACATGCTAAATGCTTGGGGCTGCTCAATATTTTTTTAATCATGTTTTCCACATAGTGCTGAACATTATGCACCACTACAGCTGTTACGGTTGTAAACAAACTTATGCAGGTAAGAGATTTGTACATAGCAAGCTACAGATATTTTATGTTTATACAAAAAACTTTAAATGTGGATATTCTCCAAAGATGAGTTTACTGCTTTGAGTAAGCAGTAATGTCAGCCTCCTGTTTTGAAAATATAGATTTGTAAATAATTCTCTGTTTCTGTTACAGGAATGTAAACATCATTTATTTGACAGAAAACTATGATTTACTTTTCTAAACATTTTTTAACCCATCAACTTGTTTTCTTTCTTGCAGAATGTTTATCTGGTCCAAGCTATCTGCGAATATTTTTCATCATATTCATAGTCACGTTCTTGATTGGGTTGCTTAAAGTACTTATCATTAGACAGGTGATACTACAATGGAATAGTAATAAGATAAAATCTCCATCAGATTACAGAATGTCTGCTTCCAAAAAGGTTGGTGAATTCAGAGGATAGTTGTCAGTATGTTACTGTTGTGGTCCAATACTCAGCTTCTTCACTAATGCTAATAATTCTTCTCCACTAAGGATAAACTGATTCTGCAAAGTGTTTGCACAAGAGCTGTAACCTACCGACGGGAAAAGCCTGAGGAAATAAAAATGGATATCAGCAAACTAAATGCTCACGAGGCATTCAGGTGCAACTTCTAAAGAAAGATTTTTTAAAAACCAATAACAATAACAAAACAACACTGTTGGAAACTGGATTTTTTTTACACAATTGTTCCAAAAAAGTATAATATAAAAAGTCACAGGAGGAGACAAGTTATTTAAGATTGTGCCATGAAGACTGGCAAGTGTCTTCACAACTGTGTGACTCATCCAGCTGCTGAACTTTTCAGAGAACTATGTGTCTTACTACTGTTGGATACTAGTGTCGTAGCACTTTACTGTAATATATAACTTATTTAGATCAGCATAGAATGTAGATCATCTGGAAAGCACTGATTACACTTTACAGGTACCTGTCATCCCTGCACTTCCCCCAGTGCTGTGGAACAGGTTGGCATGGTGTTGCTACCACAGCGTAGTGATTCTTGCGCACAATCTGCTGATGGAGAACATCCAGGAGTCACTGAAAGTAGTCAACCACACCAATTGGCATTGTCTAGATGTGTAAAACTGGCTGAATAATGGTTAGTATTTCACTTCATTTGGAGGTGAATAGGTAGAACCTTAACCCTAAGACGTGTTGCTTTTGAAACTGTGGTTTGGTGCATGTCCGTTTCTGTTTTCTTCTCTTTTGCAAAATGGATATTGACTCCAACATCTTCTCTTTTTTTTGCATTTATATTCTGTTTTTTCCTCCCTTCTGGAATAAGTTAATAATGTCATAGATGACTGGATTAAATAAGTGCTAAGTTACTACTGCCGTAGAAATCTATATGACAATGTCACTTTATTAGAATACTGATTTTAAAAGCTGAATGTTAGTTATAGGGGTCACTGTAAAGTGTCATCTAAGTCCACAGCTTCTCTGTTGGAAGATACAGAATTTTGTATTTTCTTACCTGTCAAACTGGATGCATTGTTTCACTCTCTCATTGATCTGACCTGTAGCCTGAAATCCACGAGGTGTCTACAAAACTGCTTCAGGTAGAGTGGGTGCCCTCTTTTCTGAGTATGCTCTCTTGATTTTCACTCCAAGCTGATGTCGGCAAATGGAAAGCCGTACTATTTTTGTCCTTCTGTGCCATCTAAGGGCATCCTTTGACTCATCCCAACCCTACTCATGAGAATCCACAAAGACACAAAGTTGGAGAAGAGTGAGTAATACCTTGGAAATGAGCTAACACACCCTTCTTGTTAGCCAGAGAACTGAGGCTTGGGAAAATTCAAATGGTTTCACAAAAACGCAAAAGCAATGAAGTGGCAGTCTTAGAAGAGAAGATCTGCCTTGTAATCACAGGCCAGCATTGCACAATAGCACACTACCTCTTGAATCTTCAAAATGTCCATGGCAAAACTTAAAATAGGATTTACTGACATCCTGAGTATATTTTCATGAGAATACTTCACAGCAAAGTAGGGAAGGGTACTCTACATGAATTTGTGTATAAACAGCTTGTTTTTCTCATTACCCACCTTCTGATAAGGCTTTGGCTAAGCCTTTCCCTCCACACAGTGGCCTACAAGAACAAGCCTCCTGGAACTGTGCCTGGCTCAGTTTAAAGCCTTGATGCAGAGGCTTGGTACTTGAATTCTAGCGTGTTTTACCTGTGACAATGGAGGAATCTCAAGAAGTATCTCTCCCAGATTTGCTGCTTCCCAGCACTTGAAAGTTCTAGATATTTGCATTCTGATGAGGAGTAACTTCCATTAGATATTTCACCTTTATGGCCTGGAAAGCCTATGTGGTATTCTCTAGCCAGCGAACATGACAAGTGATGCTGCTGACTTGAACTGTTTCTTCTTCTTCAATTGGGGATGGGCATTGCCAAAATACTGCATACTGTGACTGTGTGTCAGAAATTATAGTCACTAAAGCTGGTGTGAAAGTCGTATTTTACTGCTCATAATATACAGTATCATTTTACAAACATATAAATTAATGGATGCTTGGCAGTCTCCCCCCCCCACATACACACACACACACACACACACACACACACACACACACACACACACACACACTGGAAGATATCTACTAATTGAACGTTGACAACTTCAAAGTGAGCAGTGTTTATGAGCAATACACTATTTCCAGGTGGAATGAGCAAAACAGCACACATAAAGGGAACCCTTGAAAAGCAAGGATTTGTATGTTTTTAGGACCTCACTAGTTTGCACTAATTTTAAGGTGGAACAAGGTTGTTGCCACAGGAAAGACAAACTCCCTTGCCAGGAATCCAGTGCCAGGTGATAATACCTACTTAACACATGGAACGTGTTGTGGTTTCTTTTACTCTTCTTTTCCCTTCTTTCTTTCTTTTTTTTTTTGTTAAAGAGCTAATTTTTAAAGATTGTAGGGCTCATATTTTACTTGAATAATTGATGTTCTTCTGTTTAATAGTTTGTGAGAAGAGGATTAATATTTGACTAGATAGAATTAACTAACAGGTAAGGGGAAACAGGGTATTCTTAGATTACATAATTTATGTATTTAGAGACTATTTTCAAATGCTATGACTGCAAGAGTCTTTTGGGAGTTGTTGATAGTAAATGCAATTAATTGAATTTTAAATTGCTAGCAAAATTAATAACTTGAATGATATTTTTTGGCATGGCAGCATTTTGTGCTCTGGCGTGTAATTATTCAGTAATGTTCCATATATCCACTACATACATAAGTTGTTTCTTCTAAGACATTTTTACAATGAAATATACATGTATTTATAGACATTTGATACGATTTTTAGATATTTTCTACTATTTATTAAGCCATAGACATTCTCTAAAAGACTTAAAAATTCACTAAAAATCTAATTATGTCCCAAATGTTCAATTTAACTTAGTTTATAAAAATAACAAAAAATATATATCTCTAGAGGCAAATTTTTCAAAACTCAAAAAAAAGTAAAATTATGTATACATCAGATGCAAAACTTCACCAAAGAACAAATTTCAAGTATTTTAATATTTAAGTAATCTCCATTGAAAATATTACTGTATATATAAGCAGATATTCATGAGACACTGAAATCATTTATTATTGATAGATTATGAATTTTTTTCTCCATAGAATTATATTTCTTCTGGTACTTAGTAGAACAGATTATACTCACTGGCTTTTCCTTCTTTCCCTGGCTCCTGTTTGTACCACTCACAATTCTCTAGAAATTGGTCGTAAGCCAATAAACCAAATTGTGAAAAACAACTGTTTAGTAATATAGTTAAGTTCTTCATTTCCAAAGACCTATTATTTTTAACACTCATTTGGACAAAGACAGCCCATTAAAAACAAAGAATTTTAAATTTCACAACTAGTGATTAATGTCTTTTTAAAGGTAGCAACTCACTAGGAATTTCAACCATATGAGTACTTATTCTCTTTGTTTACTCTTGATATCTAGTTTATAGCTCTCCTTGTCCTTACAGCCTTTAAAATATCACTTCATTTCATGTGATGCAAGTATTTTCAAAGAAATAGAGAACTAATATTCCTTCAAATTCTTCTCTTTTCATATTCCATAATCCCTGCATGGCAAATTAGTTACGATAACTGATTAAACATACCTACTGTGTGTCTTGCTGATTCTAGGACACACACTTTTACAATTTAGCATCTCCAAAATTGTGATGTCTCTTGAAACTGTCATCTGCAATGCAGTATTTAAAGTTGTGTTGGAATAAACACTACACTACTTCAACTTAATTAAATATTCACGGGTACACATAGGGATAATCCTTTCATTATACATGTTTATGAATTCATTTGTGATAACATGTAAAGCCGGTTTACAATACAATTGAACCACCTAACTACCACTCAATGCAGACCTAACTGGCTATCAGCTCGGATCCTTGCATCTCCAAGTCACAAAAGCTCTTTCAGGCTCCCATTTTTGCATTATAATAACAGCAATGATTTAGGAAAACCCAAGTTAACTAATGAGATACAGAGGTTTCTCAAGCTTTCATTTAAGGATCTTTAGACTTTCCATTCCTCTGAAGGGATTGTTTGAAAAGATCATCTCACTTTTAAATAAGTTAACTGGAAAAAGATTACAGGAAACAACATAGTTTTCACAGCAATTTGTATACTTGATGTCAGACGCAAGAGATAAATGATGCAACCAATTGGTATTGTGGAAAAGATTTCCTCTCAGGTCCCCCAACTTTCCTATTTTTCTCTATCCTTTTTTTTCTTTTGATGATCTCTTTGGCTTTAGTAACTTTTCTCTCCAGCCCATGTGATGACTGTTATAAAATTGCATAGCTAACATATAGTACTTATGTGAAATGATTGTCAACTCTCTGGGCAGCTTTTGATTAAGTATGTGAGAGTAATAACACTATTCTGTTTCTACCTGAAGTGTATTCTTGCATAAAATGTATCCTTGTAAGCTAACTCTTTCAACCAGATAGTCTTCACAACCAATTTCAGTACAATTGTCTTAACACATCAGCATAAAATAAAAAACACTGCAATCATCAAGGATGGAAATCATGTGATTTGTGTAAAGAACCTTTACTGACTTTACACAGACAAATGTGATTTTGATAGCAAGTCTGAACAATGAGAGTTATGGTACGCAGATTTTTTTATTGAACTATTGAGTAAGATTATTTTCATTCTAAAATTATAAGAAAGTATAAATTTGCACATATTAATATAGAAATTCATTTTGTGTACATTTAACATACCTTTAAAGCTATTTTACATGTGCTAGCTACTTTATTAAGGTTTGTAAATCTCTGCAAAAATGATTAGAAATGTTTTTAAATTATCCATAACATAATCTTAGTTTGTTTCACTTAACAAATACTGCCTTTGTAAAAAGAAATTTAATATAGAATGTATTTTTAAATCAAAATATTTGAATATAAAATAGCTCAAAGAAAAACAAATTCTTCATGAACATGTTTTGTGCGGTTTCTGGCTTTGAATTATATGAAAGGTGAAATTGCCTTAAATGATACAAAATATTGATAAATATGACAATTTCACATACTATACTATGAATTTCTGGTTGACTACTAACCTCTCTTTTATGTATTTATTAAAAGCTGACACTGTAGATTGTTGTGAGATGTTTATTTTTCTAACAGAGCTTATAACAGTTGTGACAAGGCAATTAATTGATAAACCAGTCTGTTTAAACATAGGTGTTAATCAATATAAAATTTTATGTTTTAAAATAAAAGTTTAAAGCTCTAATAAAAACAAAGAATATCTCAGATTGTGCTTCATTTTCCAAGCGTGTCGCAACCCTCTACGCCTCGGGAAGCAACACTGACACAGGAGAAATTGTGGCGATAGTCACACGCTGTCACTAACAGAGGACACGGATTAAGTTTTAAGAGCTACTGTTTCAGGCTATGAGGACCACTGAGGAACAACTGTGATACCCTAAACCACCCTGCCCCTTTACGTGGTGCCTAATGATGGAAAGAGAAAGACTATCCTAATGACAGGGTATTTAAAAAAAATTAGTAGATTTTAAAACTGGCATTCTTTACCTTTAAGAAATTTCGACCATCAGATATAGAATACATTTGACACAAGCATTACATTACAAATGTCCAATTGTTCATTCTAGAATGTTACCACTAAGCAATCGAAATTTATTTAAAAGGTGTAATAGCTTTCTTTTGTTTAGCCTAAGGGAAAGACTAAAACAGAAAGATGGAGGATGTATTAAATGCTAAAGACAGGCTTTATCTTTAAGGAACTATTAATAGTTTGAAGAGATTGTTTAAAGCACCATTAGATAGGAGACGACACGTTGGAGCTACGAGAAAGTCGATCTCACAGGCCTTCATTTTGAGAATTCATCCCAGTTGTGTTTGAACTACACCCAGTCTTTGAGGGTCAGAGCTCTTCCCACCCTGTTGTAGCCACAGAATCTTCCACCTGGGTTTCAACAGAGTACACTGCAATTTCTAGACTCCTTTGTAGCCAAAAGTAGATACAGTGAAAGGAAAGAGGAAGGGATGTGTTCAAATCTGGTTTCACTTTCACTTTCCCCTTTGTCTAGGACAACTAGAGAAATTTCGTAGGCATAGAAACCACTCTCTTGACACTGATGGATAGCTTCCTCTACCTGATGGGGATCACCTCAAAGCTGATCCCCAGGAGGTCAACAGTACAGTTATAACTATTTGACATGACAGCCGATAACCTGTATTCTACTAACTGACTTATTATATAACTGTCAGTGACATAAATACCTTTTCTCCTAGTTGTTCAAAGAAGAAAAATGAGTTACAGAGAGGTTCAGGAACTTACAAAAATGCATCAAGCCAATAAATGGACAGGCTAGTGTCCATCATACTCAGGTCCACTTTTCTTTCCACAAGTGACCAACCACATGTATTTTGAGGATAATTAAACCAGTTCAGCTATCAGAAGGCATGTGCAATGAATAAAGTAGAGGAGCTGATAGGTATGCACAAATGCTAATGGAAATAAATGGCAATAGAAATGTCATGTATACTAAGATGCCACAAGTAAGGGAGAACAGAAGACCCATAAGAAATAGTGTTGGCCTCACAGGGAGTGTGTGTGTATGAGCATGGAGAAAGGGAGCATCAAGGGATGCTGGACCACAAGGACAAGTGAAAATTGCATTCAGAGACCATACAGGAAAACGAAAGGCAGTGACCTACAAGCCCCAGGCTACGAAGAACCTGGAGTCCAAGATAGGCATGCTACATTTTGAAAGTAAAATTATTGGAAAACTCATGGTTGGAATATAATTGCATAAACTATAATTCTACACATTAGTTAATGCTCTCAAAATACTAAATGTAAATACCTACTATTTAGTACTATCAAGTATTTAATTCTCATGAATTCCCTTTGCTATTAAATTAAAATACCATTTAATACTAATGTTTTTTTAAAAACACACAAAATCAAAAAAGAATTCAAATTCACATGTAAGTGTATTTATATTCTCATTTTGTTTTCTATGTGATTCGTAACTATTATTATGCAAGTCGTACACATATATTATAGAAGTTCAAAACTCCCTAGACATGGAAATAAATTCTCCAAAACAACTACCAGCTGACTATTGTTTTTTATTTGTTTGAGAAAAATACATATCTGTAGCTAAGAAACACATGATAAATACTAGGTACTTGCTATTCCTCCTGATGTTTTATGTATTAAGAAGCACCTTTTCAAAAATATAGCAAATATTTTACCTATAAAGATTTAAAGCTAAATTTGAGGTAGGATTTGCTGCAGTGTGTGTGTGTGTGTGTGTGTGTGTGTGTGTGTGTGTGTGTGTGTGTGTGCACGCGCGTGTGTGCCTGAAGACCAGAGAACAACCTCAGGAGTCTCAGGTGTCGTTCCACTGGTGCTGTCTATCTTACTTTTGAGACAGGTTTTCCACTGACCTGGAACTCACCGAAAAAGATAGATAGGCAAGACTCCAGGGTCTGCCTTTCTCCACCTCCCCAGTCGTTGGCTAACAGAGTACATGCATCCACACCAACTTTTCCTGAAGTTGCTTTCTGGTAGTTGCCTCCAGCCTAAAACTCTGCTTCAGAGATAAACAGTGTTCTACCCGTAAGTTTGCCACAATCATGTTAATCAAGGACAAATAAACAGGATAAGATATCAAATATCAAGCATTGTTAGCCTCAGTATTCAGAAAACAAAACACATGTTTTTAATGGGAAAGACTTGTCCATTTTTAACAACATTGAAAAGAAGCCAGAGTAGAGACAAACATTCATATTGGGAAGGTTTCCGTGAATTGAAGATACCATGTAGGGATGGTCATTTCAAACTGTGACAAAACAGAGTCCATAAAAAAGAGCCCAGGGTTTTTCCATGAGAAAGTAAAGCTCCAAATAAAAGTACGGAGAGGGAGAGGGACTATTGGCTACTGCCTAAGGAGAATTTCAAGGGAACAGAGTTGATCTAGGCGATAAGGAAGTTGCTCCAAGAGAAGTCTAATGCCAGGTCCAATGTTACTCCTGGCATCTGTCCAGACTGGATCAAACTCCCAGACTGGTCTCAGGAACCACATTATTCTTGCCAATCCTTGACTTGTAGACTAAATTCTCACATTATCAAAATATTTGGCCAGACCAAACTAAAGCAGGGAATTTTTAAACCACGTCAATGATCATACTTTCAATGATTTGTAAAATAAATTTAATTGAAAAAAGCAATGCTATGTGTTTAGTGTGAATATATTAGTCATATTTATAGACCATTGTGCACTGCATGAGAAAAGCAGATATCACCTGTGTCCTGCTCTGTATCCTCTGCAGCTCACCGAAGTTGCTGTACTGGAGGCCAATGACATTCAGACTTCTGAACTTAATCAGACAAGCTCTCAGACAAGACTGGGAAGAGAGAGACTCTTCCCTTATTAGGTTTTTTCATATTATGTGCTATATTGTTGTTATGATTATAAAATTCACTGTGACCACCACTAAAATAACGATAATAACCCATTTAAGAAAAACTCTTAAGTTGCCAATATTTTTTCCATATTAAGTGCATTGTAATCTTTGAGCCCTGGCTTTCACAGAAGAGTCCCTAAGCCAGTAGTAGCAACACCAGGAAACCCAGTCGATAAGGTAGATTTTTGGTATCTAGCTGTCTCAGTCAGTGTCCTATTGCTGCGAAGAGACACCATGACCATGGATACTCTTACAAAGGAAAACACTTCATTAGGGCTGGCTTATAGTTCAGAGGTTTAGCCCATTGTCATCATGGCATGAAGCATGGTAGAATGCAGGCAGACATGGTGTTGGAGAAGTAGCTACATCTGGATCAACAGGCAGTAGGAAGAGAGACAAGGGTTGAAACCTCAAAGCCCACCCCCAGTGACATACTTCCTCCAATAAGGCCACGCCTGCTCCAACAAGGCCACATGTCCTAATCCTTTCAGATAATGCCATTCCTTTTGAGTTTATGGGGGCCATTTCTTATTCAACTACCACATTCAACTCCCTGTCCCCCCACAGGCTTGCAGCCACATTATAATGCAAAAATTGCATCCAGTCCAACTTCAAAAGTCCCCATAGTCTATCACAGTCTCAGCACTATTTAAAAGTTCCAAGTATCTTCTGAGATTCGATCAATATCAGAAAAATAGATCACATACTTTGAATACATAATGGCACAAACTATACCTTTCCAAAAAGGAGGAAAGGGAGCACAGTGAAAAAATACTAGACCAAAGCAAAACCAAAATCCAGCTGACCAAACTCTAACTCAGTACCTCCATGTATAATGTCAAAGTGCTCTTCAGATCTCCAACTCCTTTTAGCTTTGTTGATTGCAACATACTTCTTTCTCAAGGGTAGATTCCACTTACTATTAGAAACTCTCCTTGGCAGGTATCACAACTCTGGCATCTCCAACATTTTGGGATTTCCAAGGTAATCCAGGCTTCAACTTCACAGCTTCAGGCAATGGCCTCTCTAGCCATTCAGGGACACCACTCACATACTCCTAGCCTCAGGGGCTTTCCTTAGTCACAGAGGGAGATTCCATAACTCTTTTCTTTGATCCTAGATTCTAAAATCAGAACCACATGGCCAAAGCTGCCAAATTTTTCTGTTTGCAGAGCTACAATTTGGCCCCTTCTTTCAATTACATCTTCATTAGCTTTCCGATTTGCATGGTTTAAGTTGGCTCTTCAGGAACTTGCTCTGTAAACCATGCTGACCTTAAACTTAGAGATCTGCTTGCCTCTGTCTCCTGGAATTAAAGTCATGCACCACCACACCCAGGCCTAAGCTTTTCTTTAATTCCATTTTACAAATTGGAAGTTTAGCTGGGTGGGGGGGATCTTGCTCTGAAGTCACCCCTCCCTTTTTTCCACTTTATTCCTTAGGCTCAGGCTTTTCTTTCTTTTTTTTAATCTCCTTGAGCACTGGACTTAGCTCCATTATACTTCCTGGTGTTCCTTTTCTTCTCAAACTGTACATTTTGTATTTTTCCTTGCTAGCTCGTTCCTTTTCATTATAAATGAGCATACATCCCAAAGTCTACATTCTTAAAAAAAAAAAAAAAAGGCAAGGGCTGGCCTATTACAGCAACACTCCAGTTCCTGTTAGAGTCTCAATTTTGATATGGAGACATGATGAACACAGAAACTCTTATAAAGGAAAACATTTTATTGAGACTTGCTTTATAGGTGCAGAGGTTTAGCCCATTATCATCATGGCATGAAGCATGGTGGCACATGGGCAG